AGACCACCGGCTTGACGCCACAGCAACACAATGTTCTGTACATCTCCTCCAAAACATCTCGCTGCAACCTCACCCACACTTGAGACAGAAGGAAATTCTTCCGTAATGTGTGAGCAAACACTGCCTGTGGTCTCAGATTTATAATATTGAAAGCATTTTGGAAACGGTTACAGGGCTGGAGGAAGGATATAGTGGGCAGGCAAAGATGGGTTTCTATTGTGGAAAAAACACAGGTCTCATACCTGCAGACACTGTATTACTGTATTAACTTCCACAGAAATACATACTCAAATACTAAAACTGGACAAATTAATGTCAAAATGTGACAAAACTATTTTTAGAAACATTTTAATAACATGAAAAAGTAAATATAAGGACTTACAGTACCAATGATAATTTGACTAAATTAGTCATACATCTGTACTTTAAGTCTTTCAGCTCGATTCATGTGACAATTCATCTAAATCTGGCACAAAGCTGCAAAGCAAAAGTGTCAAAGAGAGAAGTACTTATCTATATTGTAATCGGGAAAATCGCATCCTTTCCGGATAATTCTTCAGTTACTGTATATCACAAAAACATGTTTAATGTATGAATTTGTGAATAAAACTGCGTTATATAGTGGATTCCAGAAATTCTTTCATGCATTTACTTCTGAAACTATATGATTGGTGAATTAAACACCGTGTTATGCATAATTTAAAAGACTTTTGAGTTCGGCGTGTTGTTTTTAGTTATTAGGCTGAAGCTTAAGAGGTACAACATATTAGACATTCTTTCTTAACGCTGAACGGAAGTGGGCAAATTTGCGAACGTGCTTCTGAAGTTCGCAGAATTCTTTCCTAGTGTCCAGGGTGACTCCCGTGGGGGGTCAAGAAAAACCTCAGAGGAATGTTTCCTTTTTTTTCGCGACAGTTCGGAGTTTCTGTGACAGCTGGGCTCTGCAGCTCCACCCATTTGCTTGATCCTAGCGGACTGTTCTCCGGTCTGCTGTGTATCAAGCAGTGCAGTCATCTACAGTATCACTGAAACATCAGCTGAAGGATGCATTTCAAGCAGCAAGTCGTAACTGGCACTGAGTAAAGCAAGCAACAAACTGAATTTGCTTGGGGTCACCGGCCGCAAAAACGGTTCATTTGATACCTTGAAGGTTTGGAAGAAACCAAGATAATTCCAAGGTAATTTTTATCAAGATTTCTTCATTTGCACTTAATACATTTGCAGTTTCCGTTATTCGTCTAATGGCTGCGGAGATTTAGGTTAATTCAGGTCAGTCGTTTCTTTAAATTTAGTACTGTAGCAAATACTACAAGTTCTGCGTTTGCAAGGATCTGAACCATACAGTACGTACCGTGGTTGAGGTCAGATTGAGAACAGAGCGCAATGCTGCAGCACGTGGAGGCGAAAGTACTTTTGGAAGTGAAGATGTCAATCATAACAACACCACTATATTCACGTTATTCTGATCTAAAGCCACAACCGCCTTATCACCAGCCATAACCGACTTCGTTAACCGAATTGCCACACCAACTCTCGATCAAGCCCTTGTGAAACAAGTTATAAAGCTCAACCAGCTCGGAAAGTGCTCAAGCATTACCGTCATACTGGGAACTTGATTGCTACTGGGAAAAATATCCACATTGAATGCTCATGTCTTTAAGGCTCTTTGTCTCAATGCATATTTTTATTTATAATACGCAGTGCTTGCTTTAAGTGGGTGACAGCATTTTTATGCAAAGGGTTTTCTGTTGCCTCAATTGTCTGCGTCTTTTTCTTTTAGTGGGGAACACTGCTAGACCCGTCTGTATACAGTACGCCGGGTGACTCTGAGCTCGTCGGGGATGCGGGCAGCTTGAGAATGGGCAGGAGGGAAGCCGGTGACAGCGGTATGAGCGTTAGCGGAGAGACGGAACTGGGGAGCCTCCAGGGCATCACCTCGCCTGCCGGAGGCTCAGCTCTGGACAGGCACCTGCGCCCGTCCGAACCCCTGCGCGCCCCGGCAGGGGTGAGGAAGCATCAGCACAAACACAACCTGAAACCCAGGTACGAAGTCCTGGAGACGCTGGGGAAGGGCACCTATGGAAAAGTGAAGAGAGCAGTGGAGAGGGGGACTGGGAAAACCGTAAGTGTTTTTTCATGCATTAACACTGTATCTACTCCCGACAAAGATCCTGCCGTTAAACAATACAACGTTTAGAAAATTTACAATCGAGACGAGTGCAGTACTCAATTGTTATACAAAATTGTAAGCTCAGTGTTTTGTAATTGCCTTTACAAAACTGCTTTTTCAAGTACTAGGAGACCATACTGTGGATGCACATTATTAACATTTACAGTGTTTGAAGCCCTGCTGCTAAAAAGATTAGCCTGCTCATGTGGCATTATTTGTTGAAGCTGGATGGGCTTTTGCCTTGAAGAGCAGGAAACTGAATTATTAATAGATCAGTATCCATTAGTAATTAATACTCTGTGTAAAAGAAGTGGATTTGGCCGAAATCGAAGATCTGTAATTAGGCTATTGAGACAGAGAGCTCTGCCAAGGAATTGTGCTGTATATTGTCTTTGCCTGCAAATACAGTACACCCTTTTCCAACTTCAGTGCTGTGCTCATAGGGCTGTTTCTACAAAAGGATGCCTGGCCTGACTAGTGCATGAAATACTGTATACTCCTTTCCTTTTAGAATCGAATGCCTGTTTTCCTATTCCTTCGAGAGAGCAAAGAACGACTCTTTGTCTTTTCCTTTTTCCTCGGCAACTCTCTCATTTTCTGCAATGACCATTTTGCATTCAAAGTATTACCAATCTGGGTAGTGAACAAGAAATCATGGAACTGAAATTCATGTCATGATTCTCTGACAAGTCATGCACATCTAATCAAAATGACTCAGCCTGCTGAGATGCTAGATGCAGCTGGATGCAATTGCTCACAAGTGGCCACTTACAGTATGTTCCACTCGATAAATAGGATTAAGGTTTGTAATACGTATTGTCATCCGTATTACATAAGCAGTAATTGCTGTTCTAGAACAAATCAGATATCAGTTGAGTGCAGTTGAGTGTTTCTGGCTGTGCATTTCAGTTTGAGTGGACTTGATGTCGGTCTCTGGTCAGAGTTTGCCCATCCCAGTTGAGAAAAAAAAAATCTTCTGGCACCTCCTAAAAATCTAGATGTTTTGTATTGTAACATGCATTTCAGATAGGAAGTCAGACATCACTGTACAGGAGTTTGAGATGACAGGATTGTTTTTGAAACGACCATGGGAACGTACTGTCTCTTACCCCTCACTGGGTCTCAAGGTGGGGTGTTTTCTTCATTGACTGGCATCTGTGAATTATTCCACTGGATCTCATTAATTTCCACTTGTTCTGCACCTAGTGTTGAAGTGTCTCTCTGGTGAATAAGATCAAAACTCACAAGGGAGAGCTGAGAGACTTATACAAGCCCTTAGGTGTTCCAGGATTCTCCTGCTCCAAAGCAGCAGTACTACTGTAGGTGCTCAGACAGGTTATCACAGAAGGAATCTAGCAGGACTGAATGACCTTACTGCTGAAGACTCGGGCAGTACACTGTAAAAAAGACCACAGTGTTTCTACTCTCTCAAAACAGACTAGTGGAAAGTCAATGGCTCTATTTCCAAATTTCTACGTTGAAGTCTGGTGCCTTATATAAAACATCAGTTATTTGGGAGTTTTTGCAAATCAGGTCAGTTAATTCCAGTTATCAATATATTTGTTCCGTTCTGATACATAATTCTGTTGAATTAATTTCCACTCTCCTAATCCGATCCTATTATTAGGGCAAAACTCTAATCAGTTTATGCTGGAATTATCTGAAATTAGACTGAGTATTTCCTGTATCCCCTTTCATTGGAAAAAAGATGTAAAAGGCATGTATTTCTGTTTATTTTTACTGGTTTGTGATAAGTAATAGATTACCTACTGTAGGCACACATACTGTATGTTTTGGTGTTCTCCAGTTCTCCTACAAGGTGATATTGAGAAAATGAAAAAGATTGATTATTAACCACAGAGCAGCAAAGCATGCATTTAAGAACTATTTCACAAATTCTTTTTGTTGAGAAGGGGTGCGAGGAGGTGAAAGTGTTGTGACAATGTGATTAGCTCCTGACCTCCTGGTGCCAGCATTACAACTAGCCACAGATTCCTAAACATTAGGACAAAATTGGAGCATACCTAGAATTTTTGCAAACAAAACTCACTTTATTTTTGGAAACTAAATGCAAGCTATGACTGGAACTCCTGTGAGAGATGAAATTCCAGATTGTTGTTGGAAAAGTCTGGCTACCGGCCAGGACTCCCAACCTGGTGAGTGGTGAGAGAGGTTTGCAGAAAGGCTTGAGGGGAGCAATAAGGTATTGCAGCTCTCAGAAAGAAAGAAATCTTCTACAAACATCCAGTAGGGATTAGACAGAAAGCACTCTTTATCCAAAGGTATGATATTGTCTGAAATCTAATGCTTTTGAAAAATTCCAAAAAGTCCAAATATATTTTTTCATTACACAGAATGAGAAGTACAGGTCTTGAGACACCTGAACAACTGACCCCAGAATGGAACATTCCTTTTTTAGTTGTTTGTCCTTCCCTGCTGTGAATTTTAAAATCTTTCCTAGTCACATCATGCAAATTCACACTTTCTGTTCCCACTGTGGGAAGTTACGTTACAAAACTGTTTTTTTCAGAGCTTCTTCAGCATATAAAACACATAAAGTAATTTTATTACATTTTAATAAAATCCTAATGAAAACTAATAAGAGCACCTCAAGATTCTACCTAAACCCAGTATGACAGAAAATATTTATTACCCCATTCACAGTCATTAGCTTTGATACTTTAAGGCTGAAATACTGTACTGTACTCTTGGAACTATTTTCAAGAGTCAGGCAATTTACATTTTTTTCAATCTCTGACAGTGCTATTTCACATGGGTGAGACACTTTTGGAAACCAGTGAAAAATTTTTTTTTCAAGGGAAGCAGGGGGTCAGTTAAAGATTATAACAGTCTAATTGGCTGTAAACAGTGTGGCTGAAGGGAAAGCTGTGACCCATATCCTCAGAATAGGACTGAGGGTTCAGTCTCAAGATAGAATATATTGGTCTGGGCACTTGTAGAAACACAGGCTGAGGCTGTGCAGCGATCACAAAACTGTAAAACTAGAAAGTTGTCTGCTAGTGCACTTCTGTTTAATGTATGTTACAGACTTTTAAAACAAAAAACTGTCATCTGTGGACCAACTAATAGGTAGCACAGGAGATAGCTATAAACTGGCTGAACTAGAACTTTCTCTTCAGAGCTGAACTCTTGATCTCTGAAGGGAAAGAGTCTCTGCTGATTGTCTTTCTTTGGGTTTAGTTTAGCTGCATTGGGAGGCTGCACTGTGAAAGACTAAAATGTTACAGTGGTACTCCATAAATACTCAATACAGGCTTGTGATACATAGAGATAAGGAGTATGCGGTATACAATACATACATGGTACATATGTATTATGTACCATAATACACATGGTGTCATGGTGTTCCCAGTGCTTTCAAAAAGAGTTCAAACTTCATAGGGCAGGGTTACTAGCTTTTTTAGCATGATGAATTTAAGGATACTCCTTGACTTACTTATTTGGGCACTCACTGAAAATCTTAGTTGTTTCAGTCTGAATCCGGAGTCTGACAGTACACTCTGTGCCGGCCCAGTCAATACAAATCAGAACTAGCACTTGGAGATTTGAATAGAGGACAGTCTACAATAAATCCCTTAGACATAGACTGAGGCTTAGTTGTAAAATCTCAGATCATGCTATTTGACAGTGTGTGGTAGAGAGCAATTCAACCTGTTGAATTTCTAGAGGTTCAAATGCTGGAGTTAATCCTTTATTGATACGTTATGTATCTTTCTGTCCTGAGAGTAGTTCTCTGCAATAGGATACAAATGTCATAAAATATTTATGAAATACAGACAATTCAGAAGACAATGTCAGAGTCATTCAAATATGAAGTAAGCATACTCCAAATCTTATTTTGTTTTTTAACCACATTACAAAAGCCGAACAATTGTTTGCAGCCATGCACAGCTTTGTCTCTGCAGAGGGGTGTATTCTTTCCTTCTGTTCTGAGGTTACAGAAGGTGCAGCAGTTCTCTGAAATGACTTGAGTGCGGCTGTTTGTTCAAGAGTCAGGAAGTGACAAGCTATTCAGGAAGTACCTCAAAGGAATTAGATTTCTCCTGTCTTTGGCTGTTAAGATGCCACATCTCCTATCTTTACACACCATTCACTCTCTTCACAGAAAATGAACTGAAAAGCCAAAGTCTTATTTAAGAAATGTGCCCAGTTTATAGCAAACACCTTGGAAATTGGTAAAACATTTAACTAACTGTAGGGGCCCTACAGTATGTCAAGACAGAGAAATAGTTAGTGAAATATCCTGTGCTTTATAGGTCTAATTGCTTGAGCACAGTAGCTGGGCAAAAGTCCAGATCTTAGGCACTCGATGATTTAAAAGATATTTTGATTGCAGGGTTCTGAAGCTCTGCCACATGTGTTCATGATGAAAATTAACTAGGTTTTGCATGCTATTGTAATAAGAACAAATGCATATTGAAGCCCACATTAGCAAAATGTTGGGAAATTGTTATTTTTTTACCCTTTTTTTCTTTAGTCCTTAAGCCTCAATTAGCTGTCTTTACACATGAAGATGCAAGGACACCCTGGAGAGAGGAGCCAGCAGGTCATTTCCTTTCTCTATGTCCTCACCCTCACAGGCCCTTGCAGAGATTAGGCGGAGACATTGTCTTTCTGATATCACTACTCTCTCGGTCGACAAGACAAGAGCAAAGGATCTCTTCACAGATTGTATGATTGTAGAGCTCTCTTTTTTTAAAATGGTGGATAAAGGAAGAACAAATCTTACTTCAAATACAAGAATACTGTTTTGATTGCTAGGTAAACTCACAGGGTGATTGTAATTTTTTTTTTTTACTGAAGCCTAGTGTCATCCAAGAAGTGAAAAGTGTATAAGACCTCATTCTTTGAATTCAAACGTAGACCATTATCATCAACAGGAAACTAAAAACGTAACACTGATGTTAGACAGCCAAAGACCATTAAACACTGTACAGATTAGTTACCTCTGTGACATTTAAACTTTAAACCTCTCATCCGAAGGAGGCTCCACAGCCAAAATGTGTTTCCTTTCTTCTCTTTTCAGCATGGAATAAACCTTCACTTGTTCCTTTGCAGCCTACGCATGCTGATGCAGCTACCTACTTGCACTACATTAAACTTTTATTAGAATGGTTCTCCTTCCTTATTCGCAAATGCTGTCACAGTATTTCTTAATTCTCTTCGACATTGGCTTGGCTACACCTTGGTTTGTGCCTCTGACTTCCTAAATGGGCATTGCCATTTTTTACATCATCTCGCCCCGCTCCCAGATTTTGCCCTGGTAAACTGAATCTGCAAAGCTCAAGCCCTTTTCTGCAGCCTAACCTTGTACAGTTGTACAGTTTGCCCCGTTCCCCATTCCTAAGACTTTCAGACCCAGACTCTCAGAGACTAAAATAGCAAACGATTCTGCAGGTCCCACAGGAAATGTGCTGCAAATTGACTTAGACTCTCAAACCCCTGTAACTTGCAGAGCATTGATAATAACCATAGGAACCACATCAGTGAGAAAGTGAAAGGAAACAGGCGTCTGTTCTTATCACCCATTTACTGATAGTGGTATCAGCTCTGCGACATGCCTCAACTCATTGAGTTACATTGTGTGCGGTGTCAGGCATGGACATTTTCTGATATGTATACTAAAAATAAATTACTGATAGCATAACATTACAAACTGGCTCGTAGGATACACTGCACGGATCTCAGCAAGGTTATGAGTTGTGAGTGGGAACACTAAGAAAGCCAGGTAACTACTTGTACATTTGCTAACAACATCACCAGGTTGCGCAAATGGATTGGTTGCTGTTATGTGTGCCTCAAAATAACCTAGATACAAATTACTGCAGCTGTGAATCTTTTGCTTTGTAGAGTGCACTCAGGTTCTAAAACAACAATGGGCTCATACAAACCATGTAAGACGATGAGCCACAAGCAAGAAATGAAATTAAAATGAGATCCCAGTGACCTAAAAAAACACTAAAGCATCTTTAAGAAATGTCATACTGTATGTGTGGCACCAGATTAGACAGAAACAAAAATCAATAGCCGCAAAAATTGTGTTGCTAAAACTGCAAGCAAAACCACATTGTTTCCCTTGATTAACTGCCACTGGAAGGTTTAATAGAGAAGCAGAGTTACATGAAGGAGCTACTGTAGCATGTGGGTACAGAATGGGCACATGGCATATGTCTGATTTAGAATTAGCGGGTACCAGGCTTTCTGGACTAGCCTGTGTGTGTATGTGTCTGGAGGCTAGCTGTACAGTCACTCTGCAGTCTCATATCAGGTGCTGAGACTCTGAGGGACAGATGGCCGAGGCGTGACGTCAAGGAGCTCTTTGGAGAACAATGACCAGAGTGTGCTCTCCCAGTGTGGGCTGAATGGAGCTCAGTGTCTCCGCGGGCAGAAGGAAAGCCACCCTCTGCCTTGGCATTCCTCAGCTGGCGAGGGGGTTCTGTCTATACACACATCTTACAGCACCGGAGCTGCATTTTCAATCTGAAAAAAGTCAACTTGGCTTTAGACCTCTTTTATCACCTGAATGAGTTTTTTTTTATTTTCTTAATACCTATGTAATCTTGATCTTTATAGTTCATCTTTTTACATAACATTACATACCATGTTTCCATGGTTTACTGGCTTTACTTTATAAACCTTTCTCCATTTAGTATGAACTACAAAGTGTAGCTACGGTCCAGGCTGTGTGAGGGTGATGGTGATCAAAAACAAATAGGACTTGAGCCTGAGACATTTGCTCTTAAGCCAAATAGGGAGTTGAAGATGGTTGTCCTTGACATTAGTGTGGGATGACCAGAGAATGGGCAGTGAAAGTGAATCTGTCCTCTAAAGATGTAACCAGTGCTATTGTTAATTTCTTTCTAAATTGATATTTAGTTCTGGTACTGATTAACAGAGTAACCAAAACAATAGGTACTGTTCATTGTACATACTGTAATTCTGAAGCTCTTTCCTTTTTATAAGGCAAACTGGACTGTCTCTCTTCAGGAATGGCAGATGATCCAGTCATTGATACTCTTCTTTACACCTCACTTGGCAGGAAAGCATTAGAAGATTATAGGATGGATCGATCTGCTTTCAGCCTCTGTCTCAGTTGTTCCATAACCAGCAGTTTCTCTTACGCTCTTCATAACTGTCAAATGAGAGCCTTGGAATTTTAACCAGAAAAGCATGAGTCAGGTTGTAGTTGTTTTTTCCATAGCGCATTTGTACAACGCAAAAAATATTGCCCTAATTATGATGAGTTTGATGTTATCTCATTCCCACTCAAGATATTTGAAAGGCCCTGCTTAAACAAAGAAGGTTCCCAGAATTAAATCACCACTGTTGATGTTCTATTTTAAATAGTTACCGAAATCTCCAACAAGCGGACTTTCAGGAGTTCATTTCAGTACAGAGTATAAATACTCCCTCTCCCACAGTAATATACAGAAGGAGGAATGTCAGTTCTTGACTGAATTACAGTTGTATTTCTGTGGGACACTCAGATTTTGGGCAGCCTACATACACTGTACGCTCCAAAAATTATTTTTAGAGTAGAAGTTATCATTGTACTGTAGTTAATTTTAAAACTATTGTACATTGGGCAATAATGGCTTGCATTGCCTGAATTGCCCATGGATGTTCTAATTAAAATAAAACAGGATGTTTAATAGAGCAGATGGAAGCACTTTGGCAGTGATTGCCCAGGGTAGCAAGACCCTGTCCACAGTGCTGCTTGATATTATTGCACAGGAAACTCAGAGTGTGAACATCAATCACTAAAGATTAGCAGTGTGGCAAAATAAAAATACGAACTGCACAAAATCTAACCCCTAGATAGAAAACATATATTTCTGTGCTGAAAGTCATCCACTCTCCAACAGCATTTCTCAATGCATTTTCATCTGTTACTGTAAGTGTAGAACATAAGTTGAGATATTTCTTTACTTGCATCAGTAATTGTATGCAACGTTAAAATCTTATGTTCAAAGTTAGAAATAGATAGTGCACAGTGTCCGTGTTTCATTGCTCCTGATGTTTGATTCTAGGTGGCCATTAAGTCCATCCGGAAGGAGCGCATCACTGATGACCTGGACCGCGTGCACATTCAGAGAGAGATCGAGATCATATCCTCCCTGAAACATCCCAACATCATCTGCATTTATGAAGGTCAGTGCAGGCTAGGGAACGCCATTCTCTATAAGACATGATTGAACGAATGATGTCTGACCTGAGGATATGTCTGCAAAGGAACAGGTAAAGGTTAACTTCTTGCTGAAAAATATAACAAAGAAACACTATATTTTGGCTGTTGAGCCTAAATGTTCACCTGAGGAAGGCTCAACAGCTGAAAAGTGTTTCTTTTTTCTTCTTTTCAGTAAGGAATTAGCCTTTAATGTTCATGAAATGTTGTATAATAAAGAACATATGGAGAATAATATTTCAGATCAAGTTACAATAATTGAATATCTTATAAATAGAAAAAGAGAACTATGTTGTGGAACATCAAATATATTTCATCATCAGGCATTCATAATTTGCTTTTTGTTTAGTAGTCATCAGATTATGAATGTATATTTAATCCTTTACATTTTTTAATTGCTGCATCACACTATGAGGAGTTATGCTAAAATAGTTGTGTAGAAATTTAAATTACCTCTGATGAGTCTTCTGAAACATGACTATAGCCGTGTCTGGCTCAATCATTATTTTCACATAGTTGATCACAGTCCATGGAGATTTGAAAGGATAAAAGCTGCTAGGAGTTTCTGATTTAGTGTTGGAAGGTATGTGATATTCAGATAAGAATTCAGTTTGGACTTCAATAAGAAAAAGAAATCAAAGAGAAATATTGTGGAAAAAATGTCAGTTGCTCCAGGAGTCTACCCAAAGATAAACAGCTGGTACAGGTTTCAAATAAAACATGTACAGTATGATCTCTCCAAAAGAATGCTACACCTTTCAGACAGATGACAGGCTCCATCCCGTTTGAAGTTTTATGGGAAAACTGCAGTCTTCATTCCATTTGTGGATTGCTATTAATTATACGCGAAACACTATCAAGTCAGGCCTTGCGGCAGAAAATGCTTAGAAGACTCATCCTTGGGCATTGAACAGATAGAAAAATAAAGATAGCCTAAGCTGCTTCTTTCAGACTCTTTTCCGTATTCTGCTAACATAAGTGTTGCAGGAGGCGGGAGGGGGCGATGACAGTGGTTTTCTGTGCCTCTGCAGTGTTCGAAAACAGGGACAAGATTGTGATTGTGATGGAGTATGCCAGTCGGGGTGAGCTGTACGACTATGTCAGCAACCGGCGCAAACTCCCTGAAACAGAGGCTCGCCACATCTTCAGGCAGGTCACCTCAGCTGTGCACTACTGTCACAAGGTGAGCTCCCACAAGCCTCCCTTCTGAGCTGGAGAAAAGGCCAGGAGTTTGTGGGAGGACTTGCTTGTTAAGCTTATTGTTTAATTGACAGATGAAAAAGTATATTTTTAAAAATCCCATTAACTGGCATTGGGAAGGGAACCTCGTTTCCCCATCTGTTCGCAACACTTTCCACACCCTGGATCTCTCATTTAAAAACTAATCCTCATCTTAAAGAAAGCACATTTAATCAGCAGTTAAGCCACTGCTTTAAGATGACTTTTAACACCTGTTTGGGGGTGCTAGCTCAAAACGACACTAACTTGGGGTTGAGTTAAAAATGTGCGAACAATAGGAATTGTAATTGTGTGATGAACAGACTAGTTTTGCTTGTTGTGAACTGTTATGTGTTTTGCCATGTATTATTTCTCCCCAGATTACAGGGCAAAATATTAAACATGCCTTCTGATAAATTAGGAGATGGCTATACGATTCTATTAATAAGTTTAAGAGACGAAGAAAGAGAGGAAAAAAAGAAAATGAGAAGGTTTGTACAGAATATTTCAGCTCTGGTAAGGATCTTAAAGAGTGCCATCCAGCAGCAAGATGCTCGTATCTCTTTGTTCTGATTGCGATTAAAAAAGAACACTCCAGAATCTCGGATTTCAACTACAGACTTTACTACTCAGCCACGGTCTTGTACCTGTTATTATGTTACTTAGGCTTCAATTGGAAAGTCACATCTATTGAAACTATTACGGTACGTGGTCCAAAATATTTGTTTATTGATTCTGCCAGAGTAACTTAATGGCATTTCTTGACTGTACAGAAAAGCAGTTCTTTTTCAGTCTTTTTACAGTCTACTAAAGGACCTCACCTTGAGGAACATCAAATGAGGGAGCATGGTACTTTGGTAGCTTGTGACAGTGTATTTGTGACATCTTTTGGAGAAATAATCTCTCTCTTTTTTGGAATTAGCTTTGTGACCATTCTTTTTAAATATAAAGAAAAAATATGGAGGACCAAATTGTCAGCTAAGAAGGAGTTTTGTACTGAAATCATTGAAAAGCTACCATCTGGATTGGATTACAGTTTCACAGCAGAAGTGAGCTCATATTAGGTTAATGCTTCACAGTGCCGAGAAATACACCTTCATAATTTGTCTTTTAAAAAATGTATGTGTAGGAATGCCACTGTTTCAGTATGAGTATTAAGTCTTAAATGATTAACCTATTTTCTTTGTTATAATTTATGGCTGAAATTTTAAAACTAAAACAGCTTGAGCAAGTTCCTGCAACATTTTTAAAAATGTGACCACAGTTGAATTAGTGATATACACTAAGCTTTGAACTATATGGGCAAAGTTAAAATATTAACATTTTATAGTTATTTCATTTATAACATATTGAAATGTTATTTTTGTTTTCTGAAATCCTTCTACAATGTCTGTGTTTTATGTGGGGAAACAAAATCCCATTCTAAGCTTCTTAACTTTGGAATACTAATCCTCAGTTTGAAGGAGAGCTACGTTTTGGAAAAAGAAATGTTGGTTAAACTGTATGCAAGAAATATGCCAAATTTGTATTTAATTAATGTCCCAGAAGGAGGTTCTAGATTCTAATGTGTTAGCTAATCTGCTTTTCCTTCTCTTATCCTTCAAATACATCTGTTTTCCAGCACCCATGAAATGTGTGGACTTCATCCACTTGTTCTTCAGTATTTTAAATTCTGTAGTTCTGTTAAACGCTAATTAAAAAAGAGAAGAAGTGTAATTTCGGTAGTGAGCTTTATCGGCGTGACAATCCTTTCTGAGGAGCACGACAACCCATCAGTAATTCACGAGGAATGACAAACACCCAGGATGAAAGCGTCATAGAGTTAAATTGTGGATTAACCCGCTTGGCGTAGGGCTGACCTCCCGGCCATAGGACAAGGAGGCCAGGACCTCCATGCAGGGAGCAAAAGGGGTAGCTGCAGAGATGGAGATGGGGTGGAGGTGGGATGCAAGAGACATGCAAGAGAGAGAGATAGGGGTCTTGTAGGTATTGTATTTATAGCTTTTGGGAGAAGAATGGATTGTCAGGAGCAATTGCTAATTACTGACGGCTGCGTCTGATTGAACTTGGTTGTTATCATCCCTCCCGAACTTTTGTTATAAACTCTGTTAATGTGACTGTCAGATCCTTCCTCCTGTTAATGCAGAATGAGGCAGGGAGCTGTGGGGTGGAAGGAGGGAATGTCATGGAAGAATGACATTTCCAAGCACGTCAACATGAATCCATGAGTTTTCCCCATCTAAATGCAGAAAATGTTCTGTTTTAATTGTTCTGTAGTAAACTAAACCTCTGACCTATGGCGTCTCTGTCATATCACAACAGTGAACGGAAGACTTGATAAAAGGATAAGATCCCTTTCAGGGAGCAGAAATCACCTGACAGTAGTTCAAGGCAAAAGGCAATCGAAAGAAAAAAATAATCAGTGCTGGGAGAAAACCTTTCTGAGAACAAGCAGTCACCAGTGTTTCTCAACAAATCTCAGAGCCCTCTTAATCTGAATGGTGTGTAATTTTACATAGAGAAGAAAATCCCTTATATGCCATACTTTGAAACTTAGTTTTGGTCTTTAAATCTTAATGCTTGTAGGTAGGCTTCCACCCAGAACTGACCCTTATGTGGCACTGTGACTTATTATTTATGGTTAAACTGCTTCTTCTGTTTTCTCTTAAAATGACATTCAGGAGCTACTAGAAAGTGGGCAATGTCTATCACAAAATCTCAATTTGTATTGTACATGTGAAAAACAAAACAAAAACGTGAAAAATCTATGATCACTTTTGCTAATGCGCATTTTTATTTGGCTAATGCCTTGATAAATGTCTATGCCTTCAGTCCTGTCTTTCACCTGGTGCAAAGGCACCAAGGGTGCAGCACATTTTTTTTGTACTGCACCCAAAGAGGTGAGACCTGAATTCAAGACAGGAACCATGGATGGACATTAGAGGCTCTATCACAAGTGCCAGGGTATAGCTGCAAATTCTCTCTGTAGGAAACTCAAAAGCCAAGCCAATGCTGATCTGCTTTTGTTCACATTGTAATTCCTCAGCAAAAGAGTGCCTTTCAGTTAAAGGTTATTCATGGGAAAATGCCAGATCCATTTATATTCACCCAGGATTATTAAAGCTACCGGCAATCAAGCCACCCTCCTATACTGACCTTTGACCATCAGCTTGGCTCTATCTGTCCCATTCATGGCTGCGATAGCCAATCACAATACTCAGAATCATTGAATCAAAGGATGGTGTTTTTTGTAGTCTGGCCAAATACTATTACAGACAAAACCTCATATGTAAACAGTTCCATATTTGTTAGTACAATACAATTCATCCCATTAGTGCTCCGGTTTTATGAAATAAGGAAAAAAAGCAGCTTTATTTATTCTGCTGAGTTATCTCGTCTGAAATGTTAATTGTAACTGAAAGTTGTATCAAATACAATAAAAAGGGGAAAAGAAAATATTTGTACAGAATACTAGAAATGAAATGTTGTAAAAGATTAAAGGGGTATTGTTCTAATCATACTGTACATAAGGACCTGGATAACTAAAATCGATGTGTTTACATTTTTACAAGTCTCTTGAATGATGCTTTGCAGGCACAAAGATAAACTCATGCATACACCAGTATATACTGCTCACACATGATCTTTTTCTCCAGACAATATCTCCTTAATTCTGGTGGTCTCTTTCCTATGCAGTGCAAACTCAGATGTGCTGGGATCTGGCTCTTTATACAGCCAGCAGAGTCCTCAGAAGACAACTAACTTAAAATCTCCTATTGTAGGTGAAAGACATCACATCAATGCAAACTTCTACTAGAAAAATCTGTTTGAAATAGGTGCTTAAAAAACATGTAAGGGAAACCTCAAAATAACAGTTGGGGAAAAAAGTATAATACAACTCAGTATAAGTAACTACATGATGAAAATATTATGAGGGCCCATCATATCAGCTTTGGAAAAGAGGTCTAAGATTCTAAGGGAGTTTTTCTGCACCTGGAATTTATTGACCACACTGAACTTACTGTAAACGGGTGGGAATCGACTTATGGGGGGAATCAACAGGATCAGCTGATGAGAGAAACTTCTTCATTGGTCGAATTAAATGGGGAAATTAGGGTCAGATTTTGCCAGCCTACTGTCATACAGTATGTAACCAGCACACCTACTTTTACAAATAGTGCTATGGAGCTTGTAGTCAGGACTTATTACCCTACTGGGGCATTTCTTTGGAAATTCTGATCCAGAGGGTGGAGCACCATCTATTGGTCAATCAAAGCCACGTGCAACAGCAACCTGACTTTTCCTTGGAGGTCTGACCAGACCCAGCCAACTTGCTGAGCTTCTCAGATCAGATCAGACTAGAAGGTGGAAACACTGTTATTAAGATGATAAGATGTTAAGCCACACATCACTCAAATCAGTTCTTCAGTTAGGGGTGTCTAAAAAATGCTATATACAGTACATTTTGAGAATTATCATTTCAATTAGTTTGTTGCTCTACGTACGGTGAGAATCTTCTGGCAGTTCAAGTTGAAATGGAAAAGTAGTTTAGTAAATTTCCCAACTGGGCCTCAACATTGAAACTCTAAACAGAGATTTTTTACCTTAAATACCTTAAATAATTATTACAGTATGTATTGTTGGAGAACATTTTCCCACTTCCCCTTAAAAGACAGTCAGGAGTCCGTCTCAGAAGTTAAAAGCAGTTTTAATTTCATGTGCATGGGAGCGAAATACAGAGATGTTCTGTGTTTTTTTCTCAAAAGTAATTAAACTAGAACAGTCCTTAAATATATTTCTACCAGGCTTCCCTGTGCTTATCAGATTGGCAGCATTCCAAAATCGCTCACATCTTCCTAATTCCCTATTTGCCAGAGATAACGTCTTTAAACACAATTGGTTACTTAGGTTCGTAGCACGCATTCGTATATAACACTGTATAAAATTACGTGTCCAGCATTCTTCCAATCCAGTTCAAACTAGTTCTAAATCTCCACCTTATAAAATATTGCAGCTTCAGCAGAAAGAGTGCCCACAAAGTTCACAAAGAACGGTACCCTGCAAAATAAATAGCAGTAACATCTGCGGCTCTCTCAGCACAATTGCAAATAATTTTACCCATTAGGTTAAACTAAAGTATTTTCCTTTAACTGCCATGTGCAAATCCACTCTAATGCTTCAACGGTTTCATTTCTTTTTCTTTAGAAAGTTATATATACAGTATACAGTATAGTTCAGGTGGGTAGCTGCGTCAGTATGCGTAGTCTGCAAAGGATATATATCCTATACAGTATATCCCATATATATAGCATATCTTTTAAAAACCTGTATATCTTTCCAGTCTGTAACCTAGTCAAGTCTGCTAAAGCTACAGTATTAGAATTTTAAATATCAAATCTAATTTCACACTCTGTTTCTTTTTCTTTAAGAGTGGTCTGTAACATTGCCCAACTGATATGGTATATACCAATACTGTACCAACTGCAACAGGATAGAAGCTCTAATTTATCATTTGAGGGAGGCTTGCTCAGCACTTTGTTAGCAGTGTTTTGCTTATGCGGGGATTGCTGATGAATTATGTTTATCCAAATATAAAAATTGATTAATTTATATTATGTTAATTATATATAAATTAACATTACAAATGAATGATAGACCAGGAAGCCAATTAAAAAAAAAAACTTAAAAGATTAGTTTCTCTTGATATAAATTTTAGCAGTGATGATTTCTGTATAATGTTCTCACATTTTCAGAACTGCACTGCCCATAACTCTTAACTGTAAAACACTGATCCATTTCTGCACGTTTTCCACTGTGAGCAGTGAAGAAGCCAAATGACCGTTGTTAGTCAAATTTGTCTCAGATAACGCTTTTAATATTAATATTGCAGCGTCCCATTCTTGGATACACATTCCAGAATCTTCAGGAGTTTGGAATAAAAATATCCCCTTGAGAATGGTGTCACTGAGGGTCAGACCAGGCTTTCCAGCTGCACATATTTCCAGATGAGAAGAAATGTAAGCCTTGTAATGAAGCAATTCCCATTGGTAAATGGGATGATTGGTAAATAAAACAAAACTAACCTTGCAGTAGCCCACAGATGAGTGTAGTAGGAAGAGAACCCTGCAAGTACACAACAACAATCATGATTTATTGGTTACACTTGGAAGTCTGGTACTGTACAGTATGTCCGTCCCACCACAAAAACAGTTTTTCTAATTTAATTGCATTATATTTCCGTTTTCCATAAAAGTGGAAAATACATATTTGTTTTCAGCTCCAGATTTCACTACATCCTAGAGAGAGAGCTCTTTCTGTTTCTTACTTTGAATGCTTGTACATTTGCTGTGCACAAAATACCATAATAAACCACTCACAAATTTAATTCAAACTGAATGAAATACGTTTTTCTTTAGTTGTTTTTGTCAAATAAGCTTGAAATTGAAGTTGCCATGCATCTCTGGAAAAAATAAAACATGGTCACATTTTCTAAAAAGTCCATTGCAGCTTTGTTATTCATTAAAAAAAAGAAGAATAGATTTAAATTGTTCTCTTGTTTTTACTTGTTAAATTGTTGAAAATAAAAAAAAAGTTCACATGTTCAAATGTTTTGGATTATAAGGCTGTTGTTATATTCTAGTATTTTTATGTGTAGCAAAGGATGGCACTATTTGCAGTGGGTAGCATTGGTACCTCGCACCTCTGTAGCCCTGGGTTCAATTCTGCAATCTGTATGGAGTCTGTGTGTTTTTACCATATTCACGTGGGTTTCCTCCCACAGTCCAAAGACATACTGGTAGGTTAATTGGCTTCTGGAAAAACTGGCTCTGGTGTGAGTGTGTGTATGTCAGTGTCTGTGTGTGCGCCCTGTGGTGTCCTGTCCAGGGTGTATCCCACCTTGAGCCCATTGCTTGCTGGGATAGGCTCCTTCTTCCCCTCGACCCTCGATTGGATGAATTGGTTAGAAAATGGATGTCTAGATGGACGTGTAGCCAAAATCTTTAAACATCTGAAGTAAGTAAGCCCAGATCAGGGCAAGCTGCTTCTTAAAGTGGGCGTCAGCTGAGCTCTTTGTACTACTGTACTTTGGAGTTGTTGTTGCATTACATATAGTATTCAGTACAGCATGTCCCCCCCAACCCAAGAGGCACTCAGCCAGTGCTATCACTGGGGATCCCCAGCCCAGATGTGCACTTAGGCTTTCAAGCCTTTAGGGTGGAAGATGAGATCTTTAATTAGTCAAGCAGCTCAGGAGATGTGAAATTCATGATACTTTCAAAGTGGTCTAATTCCATGTTATTTAATTCAGTACTTTTTTTCAATGACATTGGCCAAAATGAATTTCAACCCAGGCGACTGATTTCTGCATCTGATTGGAAAGAGAATTTGAATTAAATGTGACAGATCAGATTAAGCAGTTGTTTCTGTTGACTGGTGAGTGTATAACCTCAGTTCTTGCAATATTGATTATTTTTAATTCTTTCTTTATATGGGGACGGACCCAAAGACAGACCCACAGACTAAAAAAGCAAAAAGTAACATTGCACTCAAACATATTTTCCGTAGTATACTGTACTGTATGTGTCATTCATTTGGCAATGCTACAAAACCACAGTCACAGTTTAATATAATATTTGTATTTGTAGTTGACTATTTGTAGTATATCTGGGCCTCTAGGATAACAAAGGTGCAGTAGTGAGCTTTACCTTTAATAATCTGCATGGTTAAGGTTAATGCTGAGACGTTGGAAGAGAGATTTATTTGTATATGTTTTGATGAGATAAAGTGCGTTCCTTTTACTTTCAACAATACTGTACCTTTACATGAACTTTCCAACAAATTGCCTTCGATTTAAGCAGTCAGAGAACACAAGAGGATTATTTGTCCTTTTGATCACAACTGTTCCAAATGCTTTAAGGCTGGGGAAAATTAAACATTTCACACTTGGGTTCTTCATAGATCAAAGAGGAAAAGCTTGTCCTCCAATATTTCAGATAATTTACAGTATCTTAAGTTTGCTCATATACAACTGGCATACCGCATATTATATTCAAACTGGCTTTTCCCAATGAAGATTGTTCCTATCCCTCTCTGTTACTGATACTTACCTATGGATTTCCACTTTTAGGTCTGTTTTGAATGTGTCCTCTGATAGAATCCAAGTGACTAATGTGCTTTGATTTGTGACTGGGCCTACAGCTGCTGAGCCCTCAACTACTTCTGCTCAATGGCAATTGCAAAGTCACTGCCAGCTTCAGGCTTCATGACATCTATTGTTTGCAGGTCTTGAAGCAGCCAAAAACAATATTTTACTAGGCTGGTTCAAGACAGAGATAGGACTTAAACCATACTGTACTTACTTGCAATAATATACAGACAATATTCTTCTGGAAAAAGTTACATTTTCTGGTACAAACAGAATGATTAGAAGCCTTCTTTAAGTTTAAAACACAGGTTTCAGCATTCTGGTTTCAGAAAAAGGTTTTCCATTTTTCAGCACTCTATTTCTTTGCAAGTGCGTTTGTGTATTTGATGTTTTATTTTTGGAAACATAATTGTAAAATAATGTTTAAAAGAAGGAAAATCACATTTTAAAGATCAATTTTTCCGGGATGTAGGCCATGCCAGGCTGTTAAGCAGTTGCCAAACCCCAGTTTTGAAACATTCGGCTTGTTTGCTAATTTGGCTCTTATCTCTCCTTAGAACGGTATCGTCCACCGTGATCTCAAACTGGAGAATATTCTTCTGGATCAAGACTATAATGTCAAGGTAAAGTCGCTTGAACTAATTAGGTGCTAAAATTACTTATCTACTGTAAACACATTGGATTGATGTTACATTTGTGCTCTGGTTGTTTATACTTTTTATTTGCTTTGACTGTAAATAGTGCTCTTTTTTGAATGGAAGAAGACATACTGTACGTCTAAATATTTAATCTTCTGTAAATGACACATTTCATGACGAGCTCATTGTCCTCCAAAAAAATTGAAATGTTAAACAACAGTACTAAGTCATTCTCTGTTGGTACACACAGTCATACTGCACGGGAGATGTGTGAAGGTAATGTCAAAGGGCAGATTCAATTAAGCAAAAACTGTGTGAAGAATCTAATAAACCATCTGAAAAATTCTAAAAATATCATGCCAGTTGTTTAAAAAGAACCCATTCCTTGCCTTTTATGGAAGGTGTGCGAAGCTCTAGGGAATGCAGAGGACGTCAATGATTTAGAGGTTTTTCTATACTGACAGTATAGCAAATATTAAAATGACCTTTACACCCTTACCTAGGGTGTCATTTACCATACTGCTAAAAAACAAGAGGAATTAAAATACTGGAAACTACTGCTTCTAAGACAAATGTTACCTTACAGAAAAGGGGACACTCACAGTATTTTTTATGTGTGGAAAGATTGTGAAATATCTCCATAAACAACAGTTCAAAATTGCACTTCAATGACATCTCAGTTGGCAAGACTGTGATTCACAACAAAAAGCTTCCAAAAACTGCTGGACATTAACAGTAAAAATATTCCATTGCACCACAATGTACTGTACAAAATGAATCACTGCAAGTACTGAACAATTATAGATTTGCAGGTCTAATTATATTTGATATGGGCAGTTTTCATTGAGAAATATGCCACAATTGCTTCCTCTTTCAGTACATTCATTTTCTGGCTTGAAGTTATGAAAATGGAATGTAAACTAATGAGTTCAGACAGAAGAAACATTTACATTTGAGTGGCTCTGTGTATGAGTGTATACGTGTATCTGAGATGGGTGGGGTTAAGGGTTAAGGGGCTGGTGAACTTCGGGAAGTATTTGATCATTGTAGTGATAATCATCCTAAGAAGGCTGTTTCACAGTTATCCAGAGGCCAGACCCACTGTGGCTATGTGAGGCATGTAGATAATTGTTTGGGATGTCACAAATCAGTCTAAAAGTATTCCTTTATAAGAAAGAACTTTTTGTAGACATCAAATATGCAGCCACTTGGCCCAGAGTTATTGGAGCCAGGGATAATTTAATAATCTCCCCAGGCTCGAGTATTCTCCTATGCTCTGGTTTACCTCACTGGCTGCTTGGATTAGCCTGCCACATGGCACAGTTCACATATACATGAAGTCAAGCCTCTTCACTACCCTGCACTGTTTTAGAGTGATAGCAAGCTTGTATTAACAAGCTTCTTCTCAAATTTGAGATTTAGCACTTGAAGTTACTCCTTTCTATTTTTCTTTCTTTTACTGCAGTATGTAGAATACGATTTAAAGGTTTATCAAATGCTTTCAGAAATCAGGACCATTATAGCCAATGGCATCACACGAACACCTACAGTATTAAGCTTTGTTAAAAGCTTTTCTTTAAAAGTTTTACTACATAATATCTGCTTTGTATATGATTCCCCATTGCCTTCTCAGGCTGTTTGTTTTATGCTGGTATTATTTAACTGTCAGTCCTTCCTGTTTCTGTTCTTCCTGCAGACATTAGTGTTTTTTAACCTTGGTCACACACAGGTGTCTTTTATTTATTAACAGTACAGGCTGGAGATAATGGCACATTAGGAAAAAGAGATAGAAATGGAAATTAGGTACATCATTAACAACAAAACAAACCTGTAAACATTACTTGTTTCCTGTTCTCATCTAGGTACAATGCTATTTTTTTTACATTTTGTAAAAGACAATGGTTCAGTGTCAGCAGAAAATTAATACTTACTCCCATGACCATTTCCTGCTGAATTTGTGCACGGGGGCTGAAAATTGTCAATTATTTTAGTGATAAGGACCGGGGTTTACTGCAGGTTCACCAAAATCATTGTTTGCACAGATGGCCAGGACTGAACAGAGTTCAGTTTGAGAAACAGTAGTAACATCAAACACCTCCTTCAATCCCCTAATTCTGCCAAGCTGGTAGGCAATAATGTTGTGTGTGTTACCATGGTGAAAGTGTTTAATATTGTAGGCAATGCACAATAATATATAAATATATATTGCACAATAATACACAGTTAGAGATTAAATACACGTCTTAATGTTTTTGTTTACCTCTAAAGTAAAAGAACAGTACATAATAAATGAGCTGCTAATTCTCATTGCCTATAGGTTTCCTTGTTGAAAAGGCTTTTTGAAAAACTTGTTCTTGTTGCCTCCAGCTGGCAGATTTTGGCCTGTCGAACCATTACCACAAAGACACAGTGCTGCAGACATACTGTGGGAGCCCTCTGTACGCTTCTCCAGAGATTGTCAATGGACGTCCTTACCAAGGCCCTGAGGTGAGGCTCTAGTTCATCACAGTACTGCTCACAGTGGATGCTAATGGGCTTGGGACTACAGGAGTGACCATATCTGGGATGCAGTAGACACCTCAAGATGAATCCAAAACTAGCTCGTCATTTCATCATTCTTTCTATAAATAGAATGATACAAAAGTTGTAAAAAAGAGCATAATATATTGGTACACCACTAATTTAAGGAAGAATATTAGATAATGTATAATATTATTAGAAATTTCACAACTAATTACTGTGTGGCATCCTGTATATATAGATATTTAGGTGGGGGCAAAACTTACATGGAGTGTGACTGAGATGAAAAAGAGTACAATACAAAAATAAAAACTAAAACCACAGATAATAGCTGAACCATTGGTTTGTGAAAGGTATTATGAATAAAGAAGGATATTTTTTTCATTCAAATCAACAAAAATGTACATGCAAGTTAATGCAGGCTTTCCCAATCACACTTATTTAATACAATTCAGATAGTTCAGAAACTTGTGTGGCATTATCACTCAAAAGCCAATATACCGTATAACAGTCATTCCTTTGGACCCTGTAGTGGATTAATCATGCAAGCAACATCCAGAGCAAAATGATCAAAAACTTGATCACACTGGCAGGGAATTAATTTCTAGATTTTGCATTTATAGTGGGTTCTGTAGTGAGAAGCATCGTTGAAAAACCGACGTTGACCGGCTGCAAAATACCACAGTCTGATAAACCATAGCATACTGTACATGTAAGTTAAAAAAAGATTTTCTCTACACCAAGCAGGCTGTGGGGTCTGTAACAACACTGTGACTTATTACGGAGTCTGACTATTATGATAAGAGCTCTGAAACTGGCAAGAGAGACTGCACATCAGCTGAGGAGGGCAAGAGGTGTGCATAAGTGGATTGCTCGATCTTAACTCTCAGACAATGCATGTGCTGCCAGGGTCCACTCCCTTGCCCATCGCTGCAACATTCCAGGAATTTCTGTGCAGAAATAGCAGTTGATCTCATCTTTATTTCCTGCAATTTCATTTATTACATCTTACATAGCAGCTTACGGTATGTGCGCTGTGGTAATTTTTATCTGCTGCAGTTTATCATTATGTTGGCTTTCTCTGCCTGGAGTGAGGGGGAAAAAAAAATTCTGTGAAGACCTTAATGCAGTTTAAAGAAAATGCACAGGGAAGGATATTAGTGTTGCACAAATGCCCAATGCTACAGTATATGGGATCAAAGTGTGTGACTGGAATGTAAGAGACTGGCTAGCAAAGAGGAGTCTGTACAACACGACATACAGAGGTTGGTCACATTGCAACAACGAAAAGTGAAATATCTTAAATCAGTTCATCTGTCATAATAAAACCCTCAATACCAAATGCTATGAGAGCCTCTTTTTCACTGCAGGCCAGTTGTGTATAGCTCCTATTTCAGCATTTACCAGAAAAAAAGGTAAATTAGCTAATTATCCAAAACAACTGTTCGCAAATTAGAAGCTACTTGCTTGCGGCAACATACCCAAAGGGACATCCTCTTAACTAAACGTGGCATTGATAATCTTTTGTAGCAATACTGTACTTTTTTGTGTTAATTGTACACAATTCAACACACCATTGATCTGTGCAAGCCTACTTCAGAGGCTTAATCAATTAAATAAAAACAAGTTGCCTACACAGCTCACAGATAGTAACGCCATACATTCTTGCAACTTTAAAGCTTTTTTCCCCATGATGTAAACATGTTTTAACAGAATGCTAACTGGTGTGTATTTCAGGTAGACTGCTGGGCTCTGGGTGTACTGCTTTATGCCTTGCTGTATGGCAGTATGCCTTTTGACAGTGAAAACTACAGGACACTGACAGAGCAGATCAGCCAGGCTAAATACAAGAAACCACAGTGTCCCTCAGGTACTCCTCCCCCATCTCCTCACTTCTCATGCTACTCTTCTTCTGCAGGCCTTGCAGCTGTCTTGGGGTGACAGCTGTGCAGGAATCCAATCCAGTTCTTCTGTTCTCATGCACTTTAACTTTCAAATTGAAAAGCAAAATGACTGGCCCAGGAGAGCTCTGTAGTTTATATTTTCTTGATTGCTTTGTTCTGTGGACTAAACTCAATTTAGTCTAGCAAGTGCGACTACATTTTCACTAGTTTGCAACGTACAGTCTCACTTTCATTAGTTCTTATTAAATAGCAAGATCATTTTCAAGACTGGACTGCCCAGTTAGGTTCATTGGAGTGCATTGCGTATAACAGATTGAACTTTGTTAACACGTCACTCATTTTGGATTTGGCTTCCTTTTAGTGTTAAGATAATTAATACTAAAAGGAGAAACCATAATATAGTTGATCCAGACCCACATGCAGTAGTTTGAGCTGATCTTCAATTCACTTTCATAGTCCAAGTATTATGGACGCACACACACAAAATGAAACATTGAGTAAACCTGTGTATCAGTGGTTAATGCCAGTAATGTTTTCTGCCGTATACTGTGTTGTGAGTATTAGACAGACGGTGTTGTCTATAAGTCAGAATATCTGAGTCCCCCTTTTCAGCCAAAATAACCCTTATTCAGCTTCCTCGATATAAAACTGTTTTGTGTTGTGATTCACAGATGCCTGTGGACTTATTGATTGGATGCTGACAGTGACTGTAGAAAAGCGAGCGACCATAGAAGACATTGCTAATCATTGGTGGGTAAATTGGGGGTTTGAGGAGTCGGTGTGCGACTGCGCCTCTGCACAAGACTGCCACTCTCCTTTATTGGCACGCTACATTGACTGGCAGAACAGGCCCAATGCCAGCACTACCCAGGGATCGCCGGAGCTTAATATTTTTTTCAGCTTCCCTCTAAAACCCACTGGTGCCGGGGCTCAAGGGGTCACATGCCTAAAGAAATCCAAAAAGGAGAACGACATTTCTCAACCCGCTACTTTCATTCCAGAGGTGGACAAGAAACCAAAGGGCATCCTGAAAACCAGGAGCAGCTTTGATTCAGCTTTTCTCTCAGATGCTACTGGGGATGGTCTTTCACAACCCAGTAGCCAATCAAATGGACATCAAACAGCATCGCATACAGCCTGCTCTGAGAGCCTCCCTAATTCTTGTCAGCCTTCTTCCAAAATACCAAAGAAGGGTATCCTGAAAAACCTGCACCAGAGGGAGTCAGGGTACTCCTCTTCCCCAGAGAGGGGGGACTTTGTAGAGGGTTGTAGGGTGAGTGACGCAAAGATGGGGAAAGAGGAGCCCCAAACAAGGGGGATGGTGGCTCGTCGGAAGAAGGGGATTCTCAAGAGGAATGGAAAGTTTTCAACCAGCTTAGACCTGCCTGACAACTACTCCACCCTGCAGTTCTCAGAGGACGTGCAGCCCTTGATCTTCTCCGTTGGGTGCAGGGGGCATCAGCAGGCTCCAGCCCATAGCCGGTCACCCAGCGTCATCAGCGATGACAGCCTTCTCTCCAGCGACTCCTTTGACCTCCTGGATTTGGCCGCTCAAACCAAAAGGCGCCTCTTTGCGCAGAGCGAGCATCACGATGTTTACAGCTCCGAGGAAGAGCTGGAGAACCCGCGGGGTAGAGGCGAGTACGGGGAGGGCAAGCTGGAGGAGGAGATTTCACTGAAGGAGGGAAAGGAGCTCTGTCGTGAGGCCCAGGTGATCAGTAGCAATTTATAGCATTAGACCCCAACCTGGACAGATCCAGGTTGTTCAGACTGGACTGAAGCAAAAAAAGTGGGAAGGGTCTGTGAGGCAAACTGTAGTAGAGCCCTTTACTCATTTCCAATTTCCAATTTCTGACATGCACAGGTGTTGTCGGTTGAGTAGTACAACTACAAAATATCAAGGAATTGAAACAAAATCAACCCTACTCTTCACTGGTGCAACATCTGTGATTTAAAATCTTTGTTTTGATCTTTTGTTAAAGCTTTAAAGAGATTACGATATATTACACTATTCTACAATAGCACTTGGCCATATTTAGTATTTTTCTTGACATAAGTGAGGTACAACATTAAAGTCCGTATCTCATTTAGTTTGACTCTAAATGGGATATGAATTGTACAGTGCAGGAATTGCGTGCAAGTATGTTTTACCTTTCACATATGGGCTTTACAGATTTATATTGTATGCCTTTCTGTACTGTAAAATCTCATCACAAGTCAGTTTGCATCAGTGCACATTTTTCAATCTCCCACAAATGAATGTTAAAAGTATACAAACATTTACTGTACTGTATATGAATTGTTAAATACTGTACAAATATGACTAAAATGAAGAGACTTTCAAACAAAAAATCTGAATTACATTTAACATTGTTTGTATAAATTTCCAAAGGCTATTCAGTCATTTTGCACACCTTGACCTTACATACTGTAATTTTGAAATGCTAAAATGAATTATCATTGTCGGTGTCTATCTCTGTCTCCAGGCACATTATTATACTTTTGACCATGGGTGTTAGATAAGTCACTTTAAATTGAATAGACTATGCCATGTATTATTTTAATTGAAGAAAAAATGAAATCCTGTATTTTTATGTTACATACAGTACAAGGCGACATGAACAGCTAAACGCAATGAAGTGTTGTTCTAGTTGTTAAGATGCCCTGTCTTCAGAAGGAGTATTGATTTCCAAGACGTAAGCAATTACTGTAGGTTCATGAACTCTTACTGAATTCAGTCTGACAACCCTTTGATGGACCATAATTGACTAAAAACTGGACTGTGTAATAGAAGTGGAAAATCTGAATTAGAAAAATGTCTGTTTTCATACAGCTGCATAGACAAAATAAATACTGTATAAATACAAATTAATGTTTGTGTAAAACAAACATTTTTACTGTTCCAAAAGGAATTGCAGATTACCATCTTGAGAACAAAATCCTCAACTGCTATAAAAACTATACATTTTTTAGAATTTCTTGTTAAAGTTTACTTGTTTTTTTGTTGTGAAATAAAAATACAGCACAGCTGTAAAGAAAATGAAGCTATATCTGTATGGCAACTGGAAGGAAAGAATAGTGTTTGAGTGGAAGAGGGAGTTATACATTTTTGCTAATATATATTTTCTGTTTTGTTATGTAGAAATTTTTAATTTTTGTGTTGGAGTGTTTGGTATTGTAAATAAATGCTTAACAATAAAGAGGGAAATGTGTTTTATATTGTCTAAACATACATGTCCCCTGTTATACATTATATTCCCATACTTATATAATCACTTATATTGTAATGATTTTTATCATTTTTATTATCAAGGTGAATAATTAAATCATGACAAATTAAATTAAATATAATATTGATGGATGTACTGTAACTGGCTTTACCATGGTTAATGAAGAAAGCAGTAGAACTTAAAAAAGGAAGCACAAAACAGACTTATCTAAACCTCAGTCTTTTTCTTCCTAAATACTGTTGGACCGATGTGGTTCTGTAGGATACAATAAAAGTTTACAGTGCAGTTCAAGCTGCTCCACTAACAAAGACACCAGCTATAAATTGTGAATGTCTTTTTTTTGGCCTTTTATATTTTTAGCCTTCTGGACATCAAAAATATTTTTTGCAAAACCAAAACTTCAAATGTTTCAATTTTAAATCGGCCAACATGAAAAAGTTAATCTCCAAAATGAGATACAAGACGAGCAAAACTGACTACAGTACGTTGCGGACTGAGAAAATGCTTAATACTATGAAACGCATACTGTTCATGCTGTCTTTAATGGAGCATACTGTAGCAATGATCAAATTGCTCAAAGACTATGCTTTATGAATTTACAGAAGCATCAATTATCAGAATAAGCAGAATTATATAACAGTATTATGCATTTAAATAGAAATGTAATAGTGCTCTTTACCTTTAAACATCATATACACACAGTTCCCCTCAAAAACAACTTTATTTTGTTTCAGTCTTTAAACATTTTAAACATTAGCTAGAAAATTGTACAGAGAGGAATTGTCAGTGCTTTGACAGTTCTTGAATGAATTTTATTTTCCCAAGGAACAAAAGATATGCATAAAAAGCATTTTTATAACAACAGTTCATAGCATGTGAGGGGAAGATGTAATAAGTACAATATGAACATTACAGATTTCAAATCTCAACGTTATAAAACTCTTTACTTTAGGACACTCTTAATACTTCAATGATTAAAGACTGTACAAATAGTGAAAAGATATGCAACTTAAGGATGCTATGTAAAAAGTACAGTTTCAAATATGTATTATCCACACTTTTGGTACTGTATATGTATTCTTTGTTCAACACTGTGTGGAAGAGGTATCAAAACGTAGCTGAATAACAAAACTCTGCAGGTAACCCCCTTGTTGTCATCACAAACAAACATCAATTGAATAGAAAATCATAGAATTAATGTCTTTTGAAAATTATCACACTTTGTCATTTAACACTGGAAGAGGTAGGCAACAGTTTTCTAAAGCACTGTTGTGTTGAAAAAGAGGGCATCATTTGAAATGATGAGTTGCACAACCTACTGTAGCAATAACTTAAGCTCACACAGGACATTCATCCTTGGTTACGGAAGATACAAAACATCCGACTCTATGCGTCATCAGCTTGGGAAATATTTTAAATACTATGGGCAGATTTAGGAGCTGTCCACTAGTACAGCAGTGATATTTATAATGATTTAAATGTCAATATTTTAAGCAGTCAAATTAAGGTCCTTAAAATAGTTGTACTTCCTGAGAATTAGTATTGTAAAAGTTATGAAAGCAATGTACACTACTACAGCAAGGGATGGGCAATGGAACACCTATATTTAAAAGCAATACTCCCAGAATAGATTTTCATTTCTCAGAAATACACTGACAGATTTTCCATCGTTAAAAAAAACATAAAGAGCATGACTGCTGTTTACTCCATGCGATCTATTAAGACAAGCCAGAAACAGAACTGTGATACAATACTATCGGTTCCCCAATACCTTTAATAGCTAAATCAATAAATGAAGCACCTTTTTTTAAAAAAAATAAAAGTATTCATTGTAAAAATCTGCAAATTATCATAGCAATAGCCTTGAAAAAACTTTGATGTTCCTTATCGACGAGAGACACCACCCATCTTCTGAGCACTTTATCCTTTAACAATGGGATACATCCAGGACAGGGCGGCAGTTCATTGCAGAGAGAGAATGATTATATTATATTGTATATTGTTTTCTATATTTTCATGACATAAAAGAAAATTATGATTTTATTTAAATTGGTACTTTCTTAACACAAAAGATCAGGTGATCAGGAACAAACTACCCAGCCACATGTTGTCAAATCTGATGCCCTGGCTTCTTTCAAGAAATGGCTAAGATCCTCAGATCAATTAGCTACTGGCAACCAAACAAGCCAGATGGACTGAATGTCCTTTTCTCTCCTTTGTAACCTTTCTTATACACTTATGTTCCAATTAAAATCTAAGAAGAATATTTTGCCCCACAAAACACAAATGTAAGTCTATCGTTAAAAAAAAGTTTATTTCAAGGCACCAAAGCAACTGTGTAATTAAAAAGCACCACTGCTTTGCAAAATTGAAAAATGTGCAGTTCTAGACTTAACAATCACATTAAAAACCATGTGCATTTATGCAATTGAGATACAAAAGCTAATAACTATAATGAGAAGTATGACTCATCCCCCAATATAAATGTTACCACAATTAATTTTGCATTTAAATTGGTAGCTTTTAGGATGTGAATATACTGTACTGTAGGGAACGTTATTGTTTTTTTTTAGAATAAGCAGGATTATTGGGTAAGGAATAACCTTCTCTTTTTCTTTTAGAGCCTTGGTATTTTATGTTTAAACTGAAATAATTCTGGAATCACACATATAACTCAATTTTTACAAACACTGTTATAGTCCTAATGTCTAAACATATTATCACTTTCATATGAAAGCTGTTACAGTATGTGTGTTATCCTTATTCCTCAACCATAAATAAAAACATAAAAAACTACAAAAACATTCCTAGCCAATGAAAACAAAAGCCTAAACTTGCAAAATTTAGAAGGGAAAGCAGAGCTCATCTTTTATTTCCTCCCTCTGAAATAAAGTGATAAACACCAACAAAAATATTTAAAGGAATTATTTTTTAAAAATGAATTAACATCCAGTTCAAACTCAAACTACTGGAACTACTACAAACGTTTAAAATTAGTGTAAACTGTGTGATCTGAAGAAGTATATATTATGTCTACTTCCTCACATAATTCATCTTTAAGGTTAAACTTGCAAAATTTTGTTATATTTAATCTTATCCATTGTGGATTTCACTGTACAGTAAAGCAGGTGAGTCATATTTAGACATAAGGAAGAAATATTTAAGGGTATTAATGAAAAACTCTTTCCATTGCTCAAAACAGCAAACCTCTGTCTACGTCAGTAACAACAGCTGTACCTTACAAGATAAAAAACAGAACTTTATGGACTGGATAGGCTTGCATTCCCTCTTTTGAATCATAAGTCAGAAATCACTTCACTGAAGGATAACAGCATATTTTTTATCATGAGGAAATCCAATTGACAAAATGCATTACTATCCTCCGTGGACAAACACTATGGTTTATATTAATTAAAATGGGTTACAAAACCAAAACCTCATATTCATATAGACACATTCTACATCTGAACTAAATTACATTTTGAGTAATGAACCAAGGAATACCAAGTTGCGGAGAGAGTTTTTTTCAGTGAAATTACAATGTTTTTCTATACTCCCATCTTTCCCTGTCAAATTTCACTTTTTATACACTTTAAAACAGTGTGCAAATTCTTTAAAAATCAGAAGAAAATGATGTTACTGTATAAAAATTTTATGACAAGGATGTAGATTTGTAAACAAGTATTTAATTAGTTCATTGCAACACAAGCATTACATTCAAACAAATAAATTCCTAAACATCATCTTTAAATCTCAAATAAAAAAATTAAAAAAATATATAAAGGAAAATATAAACATTCCAGCTTGTGTGTGAAAGCATACAGTATATTAGATTTAAGACTAGAGAACTACTTACAGTAATGGAAAATCCTTTACACATTTCAAAGTAAACATTTGTAGGTACTGTAAATGTATAAGTTAAATTGCAAGTTAATTATTTGAACCCTAAGGTTTCAAATAATAAACCTTATTATTAACAAACTATGGCTGATCTATTAACACTTGCACACCTCTCTTGCCATGAAATCAGCTTTAAAACAAGATGCCCAAAAGTTCCAAACTAGCTGTAGTGCAAAAAAAAATAAACAGACTTTGGCCTGCTTTATACGCTTGAGCCACACAAAAATAGCACCAATCATTTATAAATCCAGCAGAAGGTCACTGTTACATTCTCTAATACCTTTTAACAACTGTCAGCTGGTATTCTAATGTTTTTTATCCATTTTAATCAGAATCATCACTGGAGTCAAAAACGCATAAATATGAAACAACTTTGCTTTCTTGCATTTCTTGTTTTTTAGGAATACTGACAATAGGAAAGGTATTTTTGTGCACTAAAGGGCTAAATGGACTTACCCAGGAAAGTGTTTTCTTTTCGTATCCAGTAATATGCTGTGTACATGAGCTGTCTTGAAAATAGTCCCATAGATTTAGGTCTACTTTTGTGGGCCCCATTCTACAGCTTCCTTGGCTAGTTTTTCCAACACTCTCGCAGGAATAAGACACCGGAATAATCTTATTCTTTTTTTTTTGGAGTTTTGCTGTTTGATATTGGTGCTTTTCAGCTGACATCCTTACATTCTCAACTTCAGTCTCAAAGGGATCCCTTTGCATTTGGGTTTCATTTCTAAAGCCTTGCCTGTCTTCACAAGGGTGCAGCATACTTTCTGTTTTACTTTGTGACAACACTGATATTTTAACTTTTTGCTTTTTCCTGGAAGGGAATTTTTTAAACCCTTTCCTAAAGCCTTTTTTTCGTTTCCAGTCTTTTTTAGGATCTCGGACGTCTTTAGCATTGCTTTCCTTGCTAAGACCGTTGACCACTTCTTCACCTTTGAAAGTGTTCGAGGTCTGTGTCAACCCATTTAACCCATAGAGGTTATTTTCATTTTGTGTGTCTGAAATATGGCTGGACTGGACATGCCCTTTTCTTTCATGTTGTTCATTTTCTTTCATAAAATATGTTTGTAACCCATTGTCTGGCTCAGAGAGGCCGGAAATTGCCCCAGTAGAATGCATGTAATATGAACTCAAGGAAGGATTCTCATCTACTCTGTTTTTTAAAGTATTCATTGATCGATCCTCATCTAGAAAAAAAATGGCTTGTTCGTTTATTGTTCCCGAGACTTTGGCACATTGTTCATCAGATTCCTTTTCAGATGTTGATGTCCCATTGCCCAACTCCTCTGGCATGAGAGCAGTGCTGGGCTGTAGTGTGTTAGTTTTACATACCCGTGTGCTTTCAAAGTAAGTCTTTTCTTCGCTGACAAGACAAAAATTTTCACACAAACGAGGTGATGTCTGAACAGTGCAATCTTTAACATTACACGTAGGCCTATAAGAGGACGCCAAGTTGGTGAGAAAAGACACAAGTTCATCAAACTTTAGGCTGCTGTTTAACAAATCCAGCTTTTCACTTATTTTCCCATTATCTTTGCTATGCTCCATTTTCATTCTTTCTACGTTGTCCTGCAGAGCTAACATACAAGATTTCATCTAGGAAAAAAAGAAAAAAGCTTTAAACAATTTTACCTAAGTTAACTCATACTCATCACAGATTCACATTCCATTTTTCATCATTTCCCCTTGCTTTTTAACATAATACTTTGTTGTTCATTTAAGCGTATATTCATGCAGCCCCATAACCAGCTGCATGAGGCCCCTCAGCTCAAGGAGGGTGTACAATTCAGAACAAAATGCAGACAAAACCTAACCTGCAGATCAATACAAGGAGGAAACTAGAGAACCCAAAGATCTGAAAGAAAACATGCATATACGCATGGAAAGGGATTGAGGATCAGAAGGAAACGTGGGATCATGCAGCTGTGAGGCAGGATGATCTTGGGTTCCCTTCCGTGGGTGATTACAAACCTCACTACTGTCCTGCCCTATTTTGTACATACTGTACTTTCAGGTCAATTTAATATTGTTTTCCAGAAATTTAGCAATATAACTTGGACGAAGAGAACTTAATAAATAAAGTCTGATCATCAATACTAAAATACTAAAAACAGTTTTTCAATTTTGATTGTGTGTGGTTCAGCTCATCACAGAACTCACAACAGTAGAAGAATACAGTATGTTTTCAGATTCTGTCACATTACAGTAAACCTTTTGTGTCTACTCTATAGCAAAGCAAGAGACAAATTAAGCAAGCAAACAAACAAACAAGATATTATATTAAACTCTATATTGTGCAGTTTATATTTCAGAGAATGTTTAAGGTACTTGTGCCCAGAAAAGCAGTAATACTTTACTAGAACAGCAATATATGTACCAAACTAAATTAAAACCAGTTCTGGGCAAAAACATCTTTTCTGAGCACAACATGTCAAACATTATCTTCATAGCTTTTCTTATGCCATACTGAGTGCATTCCAGGAAGTGTCCTCTTCACAAAAGGTTTGCTGATGAAGTAAGGGATTACTGCTCAACCAAAACTAGAACTAATGATTAAAACCAGATTGATCAGCTTTCTCTTTATCCTTTCACATGAAGAAACAAATCCTCTTTATAGTGCTTAAAAGCTGAGACCTTTTCTGTATAGTGTGCTCTGGCTGAGATAGTTGCTGGGAAATTACAGAATGTTCTGAAGAACATAAGAAATGTAACAAACAAGAGGAGGCCATTAGGCCCATCTAACCCATTTTGTTTCTACTGTACTTGTTTATTATTTTAAATAATAATCCAAAGATCACATCCAACCACTTCTTACAAGACGTTTCAGCAATATAGCTGGAGAACATGTTACACACACCAAAAGCCCATCCATAAGGAAGTGCCTCTCGTTGTCACTTGCGCCATCTGATTCATATTTCACTGTTCATTTAGAAGAAATCTACTAGGTTGACTTTACCAATGCTTCTGATGATTTTGAATACTTGTATGAGGTTCTTTGTAGTCTTCTCTGTTCAAGACTACAAAGGCTCAGTTCCTTCAGCCTATTAGTGCAGGAGGATATTACCTTAAACCCCTAATTGCTCTTCTCTGGATGGACGCCAGGGCAGCAATATCTTTGCTGTAGTGTATCAACCAAAATTGTACTATACATATGGAAAGTGAACATACTGAACCTTTGAAGTCCATTTTTAAGTCATGCTCTATATGTAAGCAATGCTCATTTTCATTTTTCATTTCTACAGACAGTATTATCATTGTTTCATACTTTTCAGTTCTATGATTATGGCAAAAGTGTTTTTTTGCATTTTAAGGTAAATAATTGAAAAGCAAAACATGAGAATAAAAATTGTTTTGCATGTGTATTGCATTACTGCCACAACCAAAACTTCATTATAGGTGTTTATGTTGCAAAGTAAAGAATACACATATATACATGTAGTACATGCATCCAGTATATACTGTGCTTATAGTACAGTATATGCACTGAGCACTGCAGACGTGAAAGAATAAATCTGGTGCTATTTTTTCTGTTACATTTTGATGCTCTCATGTTCTCTATTTTAAAAATATGCAATTTGTAACTTTGATTACTATCATAGCCATGAGGAAAAGCAACATGGTTAGTGACAATTTATTTATGAAGACTTTTCAGGAAACTCAAAAGTGCTGAATAATATTACACACATAATCCACATCAAAGCAGATGGAAAGATAAAAAGAAAAACAAACTGACTTACAAAAAATAGCGGAATAATACTGTACATTATGCATTATAAGCTTTAGTGAAAACATACAGTAGGTCATTACGGTATTTATAAAAATCTGAACAGTTATGATGTCTCTAATGTTTTTAAGAAATGAGCTCCACAGCTGTATTGCTGCACAAGAGAAGGTTCTATCACTCTTTGTGTGGAACCTGGTCTTTCACAAAGGTAGAAGTCCTGAATCAAGATTTCTCAAATTAAGAGGAGTTGGACTATATTCATCCAATATGCCTTTAAGATAACATGGATCAAGACCATCATGTGGTTTCTTAATAAGAAGACATCTTAAGGCAACTCTAAATTTCACTAGGAGCCTGTGCAACCCATAGCAGATTCAGATTATGTGCAGATGCAGATAAGTTTTAGACTGTGTTTTAACTTTAATTTTGCAAACTGAAATATATTTACATTCTTTATTTATACTCACTTCTGTCTCCATTTTTTCCATCTCTGCCAGTACTTGACTTTGAGATTTCAGCTCACTTAGTACTGGATCACAAATTGATCTCACTTTGTCCTCCACTACAACCAAATTAAGATGGTTAATACTGTATATCAAGAGATTTAAATATCTGGTTTCAAGGCTCTACCTAGTATGTTAGTAAATAATTTAAGGTAGCAGTTAGTGAATATCAATGTTTTTTTCTATCATAAAAACCAAAATATGTATTTAATTTAAATAAAATATCTAGCATGTGATCTTTAAATATATATATCTATTACTTTTACTTTGAAACTCCTCTTCATTGCTTTCAATTGTCCCTGGCCACCAACGTTTTTTTCTACACAAAGGCAGTCAAATTGTTTTTTTTGTTTCAATGCAAAGATACTGTACATAATGCTACTGAACACAGAGTAAGATGTCAAATTCACACCATGAGTGCCTGTCTTCTCAAGCTATTTAGAATCACAGGGAGCCTTCTTACATTTATATCAATTTATTTATTTCTGAAACAAAGGTTGTGCAAAGCAAAAGGCAAATTTCAATGATATACTGTAAGCTGTTCTCACTGACCTGTAGATAGACACATCTGTGTGTTTTGCTCATGGATTGCATATACTGTATGCATATCCCTCAGCATATTTTGTTGTACAGTATAATTTTCTTACATATTCTGTTATGCAAACCAAATGCAAGAGCACCATCTGCTGCTGCTCAAATGCCATCACTATCTCGGGCACTGATCTAGATTTACTTTGAACAGAAACATCATCCCAAAGAATACTATATATGATTTTTAATATACCTTATAAGTACTTAAATAATGAATATTGTTTGCCAAATCATGTATTGAAGAAAGCTACTTGATAAATATATGTAATTTACTAAAAAGGGTAGGACTAAGTAAGATAAAAACTTAAATAATAGCCATGCAACTTACATTGCTTTGAACAAACATCCAGACCTTCAGCAATAAATGTCTTTCTAGAATCTGCCTGGCTCTCAATTCTATTTAAAGATATTTTTATCTGCGAAACAAATGTGAAAAAACAATTAAATCTTACACAACTTTTATTTCCAAGAGAGTAATTCATCATTGTCTAACATGTTAATACATACATTTTTAGTGCAATACTGTATGAAAGCAAGAGGCTTTCAGAATTTGTAACTTACAATTGTATATTTTAAAACAAATGTATATATTAATGTATTAACTTACGTGATCCACGCTTTCCTCAAGTTGTGAAAATCTATTATTGAACAACTCACTAGAAGAAAAAATGAATAATTATGTTTATACGCTTTTAAAATACATATGAAATACAGGATAAACAGAATATGTGGTTATATCCAATACAATCCTATGCTCCCTTACAAAATGATAAGAGTCTGCATAAAATAGTGACTTTAATTAACAGCAGAAATCTATAGCATTAAATACAAATGCAAATGTGTATACATGTTATTATGAGCTGTTACAAATATTTCAACCAGTTTATCTTTGTACAGCTGCTTACCGTATGTATGTACTATAACGGAATCATGCTCTCAACATGTCTGCTATGAAAAAATACTGTACCTTTCATCTTTCTCTTTAGCTTTTTTCTTGCTTTCTTCAAATAGTCCCAAGATTCCTTTGGCTTTCCCACATCCAAGCTGAGACTCTATAGGTTTCTCCCATTTGTCCACTCCGAAATTATAGGGCCTTGTCTGATATTTTGCTGAACCTTTTGGCTCATTTACCTTTAATGAAAGGGAAAGAAGTTTAAAAAAAACACATACAAGACTTTCAGTTAGCTTACTACTTTTTCATCTTGCATTACAACTAAAGCTCATAATTCAAAATGCAAGGGTCAAAGGAGCCCTTTGACATCAACAGCCCTGTAGGTACATTTAGATGCTGCTCTCTGGTATGAAAAGAACCATCCATCCATTCATTTTCTAACTGCTTCATCCAATTCAGGGTCGCAGGGGAGCTGTAGCCTATCCTGGCAAGCAATGTGCACAAGGCAGGATACACCCTGGACGGGAGGCACACACAGACTCAAACATGCACACATTCACACCTGGGCAAATTTTCCCAGAAGCCAATTATCCTACTGCTATGTCTGTGGACTGTGGGAGGACACTGGAGCACTCAGAGGAAACTCACGGGAACATGGGGAGAACATACAAATGCCACGTAGATATCAAACCAGTTCTAGAACTGAACCCAGGGACCTTGTGCAGCAATGCTATGGCTATATACAGTATGTCAATGCTATATGACAATTTGACTTACTTCTTGAGAACCATGCTGAAAGGCCAGGGCTGTTATGGATGGCTGACTCATCTCCTGGTATGTATCCTGAGAATGACTGTGTCGAACCCGACATCCAGCCAGGAACATGGGATCTGTCATTCTTGAGTGTCCACTGTGGGTGCCACTCCTGCCAAAGGATAACTTGTTTCCCCTACGATCATTAAGATAAAAGGTTTTAAATTCTATTTTTCTACCCAGACAGGAAGGGAGAAGTTAATATCATTGACAGATCTAATTTATCATTAGAAATTACAAAGCATATTCAAAATTATCAGGTGAAACTTTTAGAGTAGAGATTAGGTGTACTAACAACACTTATAGTATCTGATTAGGGAACACCCATTTGCATCAGTGTTAATTCTGATCTTTCTTATTTTACTGCATATTCAAACACTCCTTTAAGTGTAAAAAATGTTTACCTTGTTGCCCCAGGAATGCTGAATATCTCCTCAACATTCAATACATTGACATTCATATCTGTAGAGCTCTGATTCCTCTTATCTCCTGCCAAATAAAAAGATGCTAACAGTGTTTTACATACAGTATTTTCCATATCGTTTTTTAGATTTCTTCTATTTGACCTTGACAAGGTCAGCATTTTTCGTTCAGACTGTTAATTAACTTGGAATGAGACAAGGGCAGTAGCCTAACTGTGTTTAGCAAGGAAGCTACTGTATATAGCGTTTCTGAGAAATGTTCGTTGGTTTTATTTTTCTGGACAGAAAAGAAAAGTCGTAAACCCTGAACTTGGTTCAACCTGAGCAAATAGTGCTCACCTGCAGGGATAGTGTAAATGTACTCACAGTCAGAAATGCATTTTTACCAATACTTGGACAACGTGGACAAAGTTAAAGGCAATTGAGAGGAATCCTTATATTAGTAAATAGTGTCTATTTAATATGCGTCTGTCTAATAGGTGCTTTATGTGAATGCTTATTAATGTAATCTAGTTTTAGTTTTTCAGTCTTTGTATTGAATGTTCCCAGTCCCGGTCCTAAAGAACCACAAACCTGTTGGGTTTCATTCCAGCTCAGCTTAAATATCTCATCAAAACCTTGGCTGAACTAACTAGTGGCCTGATGAGAATATTTGCTATTGGGATTGTATTTTACTTACAAAATGCAATCTTTAAAAAGGTCACATCAAACATATTTAAGAGCTGAAAACAGCCTAACAGTTCCCATTAATTCTATTACTAATATGATTTGTATGTCACTAATTCAGTTGCGGAACAGAGCTTGGCTGGAACAGAAGCCAGTAGATGTGTGGGCCACAGGAGTCAGGACGAGAATTGGGAACCCCTGGTCTAGGCAATAGCAATACAAATTCAGAAGTCTGTATAGAGGGGACTTGCTGCTATCTTATCTTTGTTTTACATTATTATGTGCATCGTACAATTTTGAATTGCAACTCCTGACTACGCATCCCCAGTCCTCTCCCTCACTATGGCCAGATAACATAAGCAACCAAAGGAAACGGGGCATAAAACATCCAGACGCTGAACCGGTTAGCAGCAAAATCATTCTACTTGGTTTTCAGCAACGAAACTTCATAAGTGCTTTTAACTTCAAGAGTTGTTTTTAACAGCCGTTTGAGGGAATAAATGTCACTGCGGCATAGTTCACTGTTCCGCCTGAAAGGTTCTCACTTCGTCTGCACTTTCATAAATTAGAAAAGTTTAAAATACAATAATTGTTTGGTGAACGAAAATAACTGACTCCCCCCCCCCAAGTACAGTATAACTAGACGGCTTTAATGGAAAAAAGTCTTACCTCAGAAAATGGTTGCTAATTTCAGGTCGGACCGTCCCGGTTCTCTCGAGCGAAAGTAAGAAATACCGTTAAAATGCGCGAGCCCGTCGACCGCACTGATAATCCGGGCAAAGAACCTACTGGAAAAATTAATAGAGAAGAGTGAGATTTAATAATAAAAAAATAATAATTCAGATTCCTACTCAGACGCATACAGTATCTCAACACGCTTTGCGACAGAGTTAAAAAATAATGATCCTCGTGAAGCGTGGAATTTGATTTAATTCGAGTTTCTCTAAATGGCTTCAGATTTTGCTTCTCCTGGGCATACTGTATAAAATCAGTTTTGTCGCATCCGCTGGTTTCTCTTAATCAGGAGCATCAAGGCGAGACAAGAACAGAAACTTTGACGGGAGATAAATGTTTAACATGTCAGGGTAGCAGGCTACCAGCGCAACTTCAGTATTTACTCGAGTAAGACCGAACAAGTAAAACTCACAAATTGGGTTTTGTTCCAGCTCATCTTGAAAAGTAAATCATAAACTGAGCTGACAATAGGTTTAATTCACGCTATGCAATTGTTTTCGGTTTTTACATAGTGTTATAGTTCCCTTTGAATACAGCACATGACTAGCACCTATAGAATACAAATACGTGAAATTCTATTTCATTCTATTTCTATGATTTCGGTTCGCAGTAAAGAGAACATACAGCAGCTCACTAACACTAACCGTGACGTCGGTCCTGGAAACAGATGAGACGCTGTGTTCTAGTGTGCTGAGGTTTGGCCATCAAAACGTGCAAAGAAAATGAGCATCTGGAAAATAGTACACAAGGCATGAAAACAATTTTATGGTATGGTATAAACACTGCAAATTGTGTGCATAATCCAAAGAATCTGGTTTATACAGTATGCATAACCATTTAATTGCACTTGTCTTATAGCTTCTATAAAGGGTGTCTTACAGTCTTACTGTACAGTACATACAGGTACACATCAGTTCAAGAAACACCTTGTGCTCTACCCATGATCTTAAGGCCTTTTATACATATTTTTACTTAACCTAGTACTATATGACCGAACTGCACAGAGGCAGGTTCTTCAGCTCCGAAAACAACAGCAGTCCCAAACACAGTCTGACTATGTTTCATTGCCATAAGGCATCTTAGTCACGCCTGCAGCATCAATTGCCAAGCAACGCTGTGAACACTAACAGAGAGTCTTCCAGGCACGTCACAATTGATTTAATTAAGAAAGGATTTTAACTTTTTATTTGAAGACAATTTTACAATTTAGATTTCTGAAAATAACTACCGCTGCAGTGATGCCGAGAGATCTGGCTGGGTCTTGGGTAACGTTTTCATTGTTTTTGTTTTTCCTGGTAACTTTACCTTATTATCCTCCACTTTCAGTTTAGTTCTTGTTACATAAAGAGGCAATACAATAATAGTTATTACGCATATTCGAAAGGACGTCATTTGTTTGCGCGTCGTAGACGTCTCAAATGAAATAGGTAAATGAACTGATTTCATGCAGCGTTATTAATATATTTCATGCAACTTTAGTGTGGAAAATTGTGTCGTGAATATAATTTCTAGTATAATTTCTTTGTATGTTCTACCGCATGTGATGTATCGCGGTTTAACTACTTGGACGCTTTGGATAGCCAACACCTTAGCTAAATGCTAGATCGTTAAAATCATGTATTGAAACAAATTAAAAAGCTGGAATATCATGTCGAATGTGAAAGGAAACTACGAAACGGGCTTCTTGAAAAACATCCATACTGTAAATGTACTGTATAAGGAGGGCTTCGATCAAGCTGATCTCGCCATTCATTTTGACAGTAGCAGAAAAACGTCCACTTTTTGGAGTAAGGGGTTATTGAAAATGGATGGATGGATAATACAAATATTTTTAAAAACTTTCATGAAGACATTTTCCGCATGAACAAAAACAAAGAATGAGAAGAATATTAATTTTTCAAATTAACACCCCTAATAAGTCAGAATGCTTTACGCTACTTCGAGCATTAGGTGCATGGGAACAGAAGGTGATATCATACATATCTGCAGTCTGGTCTTGAGACCAGAGAGGAGACCAGCAGGAAAGATGGAATATTGTGACTGAGCAATGATACTACTGGTCAGTAGAGTGGCGATTGTAAAGGGGAGACCAGCCATTGAAACACTTGAGTCATAAGTACGATTGAAGTGTGAGATGGAAGGAAGTGCAGAAAGTCACAAACAGGGATAAAGTGCCACCAGTATTAGCTCATCTGTCTGGATCAGGCATTGACAGAGTAGGATGCAGCTATTGTAGTATTCCTAAGGTTGACAAAGCACACCACAGTAGAACTCTAACGATTGAGAGGACAGCGATGGCTAAAGTATCCTGAAAGAGTTTAACATGTGTAGTAAATCATTTAGCCTTAGTCTTGGCACAATTTAACTGTGAAAAGTAAGGTGGAATGAACAGAACACAAGGTAGCCCTTGATGCTGATAATGTACTGATATAGGATTATGGGGTGGTGTGGTGACTCTGTGGCTAAGGACCTGAGCCTGTGGCTGGAAGGTTGCCGGTTCGTATCCTGTGGCCGGCAGAGGAATCCTACTCCGTTGGGCCCCTGAGCAAGGCCCTTAACCCCAACTGCTCCCGGGACGCCGTATAAATGGCTGACCCTGCGCTCTGACCCCCAGCTTCTCTCCCCGTCTGTGTGTCTCATGGAGAGCAAGTCGGGGTATGCGAAAAGACAAATTCCCAATACAAGAAATTGTATATGGCCAATAAAGTGATCTTCTTCTATATCTTAGAAATCCTGATCTCCTTCAAACTACTATAATACTTTTCAGTATGAAAAAGATTGTAGATTACCACATCATGTCAAACAGCGTACTGTTGGAGAGAGCAAGCCTCTGAGATTATAGGGGGAGTGTTTATTTTCTGTCTCATTTTCTGTTTTTCTTGGGTATAAATCAGCTTTGCTCCCAGACTTTGCTCCTGGTTGCCCGTAGGGGCAAATGAGGAATTTTCTTGTCTTACTCCACTTATAGTTCTTTTTTATTTTGCTTTTTTTTCCCTCCTCAGGAGAAATCCTAACCAGAAAACTGACCAAACACGTAGACATCATCAAGAAGCCACATTTTATTTTTAGGTGTTGTAGCTTACTTTTTTAAGCCCAAGTTTTATACGTAACCTTTTGGAGCTTTTAGTTTAGCTAATTCATATAGTTACTCAACATGACTATATATACTGTAGTTGTTATACTTATACATATTGTATTTCACTACTTTCTAAATTATTTAATACAGCAAAATGTGCTGAATAATGAAAGTAATGCATCACAATAAAATATTATAAATTACTCTGTGTTTTTTATTTGGTTTCACTGAGTGTAGTTTCCACAATGTTTAATTGCTTTTTAAAGCAGAGGTTCGTTTTCTGCATTCACCACATGATGCTTTTAAAAACAATATTTTATTTTCTTGCACCTTAGTTAAAAACTTTACAGTTAGATACTGTAATTAGATACAGTATATCATATACAGTATGAGAGGTATGGATCCATGGCCACTCAGCCCATTTAACCTGTTTGATAGTTAGTGATTAATTGATCCAAGGTTTGAGGGTCTGTCTGTGTGGAGCCTGCGTATTCTCATGCAGGCTTCTCTGAATGCTCCAGTGTCCTCTCACTTTCCAAAGTCAATGCTGCCTCGATTGATTCTTAATTGGAGACTGCGTAATTGGCTGTGTGTGTTCCCCATGATGGACTGGCATCCCATCCAGAGTGTGGTCCTGTTTTTTGCACTTTAATCTTCCAGGATAGGCTTAATGATTGACCAAGAACACCTGGCTGTCTAAAAGAGCACTTTTTTAAATTTGGTGGGTTTTTTGGTTTCTTTTTCAAAATCAAAAAATAATTATGATATTATTCTTAATTCATTAGCCCCTAGTGTTGTAGTTAATGTGAAAAATTCACACAATACTTGTATTGTTCCAATAGCTTAGTAGTAGGTACAGTGTACAGTATGCTGAAGTACAGCATACAGACCGTCTAGTTTAGACATGGCCACAAGCAGCTTACTTTATAATCAGATCAGGAAGGTATGCAGCAAAGGGCAATTCAACTTTCCATCCGGAAATTGGGATATTGACATATGGTTAATGGTTGCTTCTTAATCTAATTTGTAAAGGCATTTACTATGTGAGATGTTCTTATTGACCAAGACTTTTCAAATAATAAGGATAGAATAAAGGGAATAGAACTGACAGAACCAATGGGGAATTATACTTCTTTCACATACAACTTTTTGATGTTTGCTTTAAATCTATGAAACCTGAGTCAAGAGCGAGCGTTCAGAATTTTAAAAAAGCAGACTAAAAAGGAAGGAAGCAGAGCTTACTTATAGACAGTAACCTGGGAAGTGATGGTAAACATGCTAAATTAATTTTGTTTAAAAAAAAAGATATCAATAACACACCCCAAACTCGATAAGGGTACTTTTAGCATGACGAACACCGAGACATTACAGGGACCAGGAAGGCAGAAATCGAATAAATCTGTGGGTTTTAGTGTTTTTTTTGCAGACATACAGTACTTACGGAAAGGAATGTTGTTTTAACTTTGGTTCTTGCCACTTGTATGCTGGCTTTTAAAACAGATTGCCTCCTGAAGATGCTGAAGAGAGCACAGAGTACCAGGGTCCAGAATTAGGATTTAACATCTGTGAGAGGACAGCCTGCTGTTAATCGTTGGCAGTCATTAATTACTGTTACCCCAGTTGTCACAATAATGGCCCAAATCGTACTCCGCACTTGGAAAGGCAGATGTTACCAGTAACTTTTACTGTTTGTATCTTATTATCACCTCGTTATTTTAGTGGATGCCTGTGGGTTTCATCAAAAAGGTAAACCTATCCCATTTTTTGCTTATAATCCTTTTCCATGCCTCTTTGTTTTAGAAGAGTTCAGGCATAATCCCACAGATGGCAGCTTTGCTCCACTGGCTCCTCAGCCGAGCACAGCCACCAAATGTCTGAACCTGCAATGACAGATGCCAGTTTTCCCTGTTACTGATTGTTAGTATGTCTATCATATCAAGAACATCCATCGCAGATGCTGTGATCTGATCAACAGCATGTGATGGAAGAAAAGGTTAACAGGTATGCTGGCATGGCAGGGATGCTGCCATAAAGGTCAATGCAACTGATGTGCTGGCATGTCTTTTCTACCTTTCAGTTTCCCACTGGGTATCATGGACACACCCGCAGTAAATCCCGCAATGACTTCCTGCAGGAGTATCGTCTAGCAGCCAGACCCTGTCCCCCAGAGAGACTCATACAGAGGCTCAGGGTGAGTCCCAGGTGGGGGCAGAACCACTTCCACTCGTGCTGCAAAAGTCCAGGTTTTCACTCCTGGTTTCTGGCTGGCTTCTCTTTCCCTTTCTGTCACAGCTCTGCAACTCCTTGTCCCAGCTGTGACATACATGAACAACCTTTCTAATGTTATCTGAAACAGCTGTTTCTCACCTTAAACTGTATCGGCAGGAGATCCCTAACTGTTAAGTAAAGGAGCAGCAGGGTGCCTTACCTTGTGTTTTCTCTTATTCAAGTCTGGGGAGGTCAGATCTTCAGCCCTTCTTGTGGAGGTTCACCAGCTACAGTAGCAGCAGCCCAGTCCTGAAGTTTTTTTTAGTGTCGCTCACCATACGTCACCCATACTTTGTAGGTTATGCATATCCTGTTGTCTTCCTTGAGTCACACATTTTGATTTTACTCACGTATGTACTTGAAACACTGTCATAAAATCTGTGACTCTCAATGACGGAAACATTGCGTTGTGCTGCATTTGTACTGCTTTATTTCTGCGCACATGCACAATCTTGGGTTATGAAAAAGAAATCTGTCATCCGCAAAAACATTTTGTTCAATAATGCTTTTAATTCTGACAAGATAAATGTCGCAATCGCTTCAAAGCTAAAGCAGTATACCAGAAGACTTGGATTGCCTGGCTTTGCATGTACTTTATTCTTGGCTGAGCACGACTGGTTGGTTATAATGTTGTACGTGACTTAATTTCAGTTGTCCTGCTTTCTTTTGGCCCAGGATCATCCTATGAATTAGATTTTAATTTCCTGACATTTCCGGGCACGCATTTCCTTGTAAACGAATTCTAAATGAGAAATAGAATTGGGACACAAATCTGGAGGTGGGCAGCACTCAACGTTGTGGTGCACTTGGAAAATAATGAGACATAGACAGGGACAGAAAAAAATGCATGGACGTCTGCAGCGAATACAGTAAAAGGGAAGCCCACCTAACGAAGGGTGGCTACACTAGCCGAGCTCAAAGGAGTAAAATGCAACGGCCTTTCTCTTGTGAATAAAACCTCTGTCGGATTTAGTCATCATGCTTTCAGCTGAAGAGTACTTCAATCCCTCTTCAGACTGACATGATTGCTCCCCTGGACAGGTTTGTGTTGTAACGGCACTTTTCATTTCCCCTTGAAGAAAGCTGCTGTTGCCTGATTAGTTGATTGGACATCAGCAGCGTTGTGTAACATACTCTATTTTAATCAGCAATGGGACTTAGCATTGCCCAGCTACACAATTTTTCAGTTCTCAAAAAGGGGCAAGTGTGCATTAAATGGTTTCGGTATTCTTAACTCTAATTTCACCAAAATGGGCTCGTGCCTCTTTTTGTAGTTTATGTTCCATAATTTGGGGGGGGGGGGAGTCTTTGGTTTATACTGTACTTTGGGGTGTTACGCTGACATACTGGAGTATTTCTTAAAGTAAAACATAAGACATTGACCATTAGTAGCACTTCTTAAAAAACCAAACACTAAAATACAGTTTAAATGAAAAAAACAATCCTTTTTAATGGTAAAATTGGACCAGCTCGTTATCTTTTTTCTCAGTGAGATTATATTGTTTGACATGGACACGTTAGTTAGAATTAAAACAGTTATCAAAATTGTTTCTGGATCACGTGCAATGAAAATATACTTTCAGAAAAGGATTGCTATAGGCCTGAAAAACAAATATTGTTGATAATCATTCAGTAAAGCAAAATTAATTAGACTTGTTGCCAATGCTGAGCAGGGGAGGCAAAGATTTTACATTTTGGATAAAACAAAATTTACAAAACATTCAATTGCTGTTGCCTGTTCACCTTGAGTGCTGTTTTGGAATAAATATATAAAGCTTCTGTTGGAAATTGTACTTATAGTACTACTGTATGTAAGAAATTGATTAAATCACTGGCATACAATCAATTAAGCAAATCGTCTATCATCTTGTACTCGTATTATGACAAATCACTAAAAATTCCTTTCAGGAGCTTGGCTCGATGCACTGTGAATAAAATGTGAAATATGGAAAGCAAAAAGACTTAATCAAAAAGACACCGATTTGTTTCTTGAGGGGAAAAAACGATCCAATTCATAAACTGAATCATCGGTGCTGGTCTGCTCTCTATACTACACGGTAGAGGGCACTGGAGCATGGGATAAAGACAGGGTAAGCAGGGAATGATTCTTTATTAACAGACATTTCTGTTTTAAAGGAAAATCCAAGGAAACACAGTTTCTCCAAACACGATAACCGGCACGTGTTCCAGGGCAACGCGGTTTACTTTGAAAGTGTAAGTTCCTGTTACTAGACTAGGATATTAAAATATGACAGGTTCTCTCTTTATAATGGTTTACATGCAACAAATCTTAACAATTATCAAAGGACAAACAATGCAATGAGAGCCAAACAACCCAACTGGAAACTATATGGAAGTACATTAAGACTGAGCCTGGAGTTCAGTCATGTAGTCGAAAATGATACCTTACCTGGACAAGTTCCACAGATTAGTTACCTGCTTGTAGCCATGCAAATTAAATTGGCTGATTCACCTTTCTTATGTGCTTACTGTATATCCTTAACATGCATTACAAGTACCAGAGATCAAACAAATACCAAAATATTTAGTAAGTAAATAATATAGGCAATGATTCTGACAGATGTTTACCACCACTTGTTAAAAGTTAAAACTACTTGTTTTTATTGGAAGTGGGTTTGAAACTGGTCTTCAATTTTGCATTGAATGTTTTCTTCCCTTTTATTGTCATGGAGACATAATGAAAAAGTAAAAATCTTAGTTACAACAAGATGGTTTCCTATCCCATTTTACCAAAGTCATAAAACCTTACCCTGGTTAAGCTGCTTGCAGTCACTAAATTATTTAATCTTCTGCTTGGATGAATTGCAAGGACAGGCTCCTGAAGATGAAAAACTACAAGAGATCACAGGCCTCTCAGTCCCATTATTGGGATATAAAATGAAATAGTTGTCTCAGCAGCAGAATGATACATTGAAATCACAGTGAATTAAAATAGTATGGATCTAAAAGAACATGCTAAAATACAAAAAATCTAATACCAATTAAGTTGTGTTCTTGGAAAACTGTGGTGTTTTCAGGCCTGGAAATCTGTAAAGCTGCTTTGTGACAATGTCCAATGTCCGCTATACAAATAAAACTGAATTGAATTGATAGTGTACAGCCGCAAGTCTGCATTAGAACTATTAAAAGGCAAAGGGACTTAAAAATCAGTTACCAGGTTTTATGCTCAGGCAATCGCAGCAGTTAAGCAATAGACGTTTGTACCTACAGTAAATGGTTATTTCCAGTCAGGCTGTTGTTCTCCAAAGGGTCTGGGAACGCGGAGGGTGAAAACTGCCATCGCGGAAGGAGCCAACTTCAAACCCGACTTGATCGCCTGGGCTCCGCTGAAGGAAGAGCTGGCGAAAGCAGGCCCGGCCCACAGCACGTACCGCGCCTCGTATTGGCACGCCCAGCCGCCCGCCGCCCACTCCCGTTTCCTGCTGCCCCACAGACTGCTGCCTGCCCCCGAGACCTACACCACCACCTACCGCCACACCTACAGCCACTGTCAGCCCAATCCCAGTGTCCTCACGGACATGATGACGGGCCGTGTGGTCACGCGGCCGCTGGAGAAGGAGGTCACCTTCGCGTACATGAACGGGAGGCTGGAGCCGAAAACCAGCCAGCCCAGGAGACCTCACACTTCCCTGGCCCCCCTCTCGGTTTCTGACTGCCTTAAGTGGCACGTAACACAGTAAAAAAAAAAAAAGAGAAAAAAAATAATTGCTTTCTACCAAATATGATATCTATTTTCAAATTTGTCTCATGGGCTTTTATCAGATCAGTGTTTCAACAATCGCCAATTCCTCCCCCTCCTGCCTTTATTAGTTGTGTGACAGTGTCACTTACTGTACCTTCTCTTCTAATGGTGTTGAAACGATGCTCAGATCAACTGTGGCAGTGCGGTGACTGAGAAAAAGACTATTTAGCTTATTTCCATCATTGTGAGAGTTATAGTGAGGTGTCCAATGTTTAATGCAAGGTAGGGTGGACAGGTTGCAGTGTTTTCTTCTGTTCCTGTTGTTGTGTGGACAGAAAAAAACTAAATGCTGCATCTGGTTTAGCAAAAAAGAAATCATTGGTAGTAAAATGTGGATTAAATCATGTCTCAAATTATTACAGCAAAACCAGGAGACTTCCTATATACAGCAACACTAAGGCACAACAATATTTGTTTTGCAAACCTATAATCAAGCTATTAAACCATGATTTGGCTTTGTGCCCCCGCTGTTAGCATCTACTGTATATCCTTGAAATGTGTCTTTGCTATTTACTTTGTACTAAAAATTGTTGTACATGGTGTTTGGCTATGTTGGTGCTCATGAATGGCGCTGGGTTCCTGTCTGTGAAGAATATGTAAGAATATTAAGTGTTGGTCTGGAAGCTTCTCCCATGTTTTCTGCCAGCCTCAGTAATCCTCGGTAGGCCATCTTTAAGGGACTTTTGCAGTGGGGTCACTCTTCACAGCTGTTCCAACTTTGGCTTTCCAGTCCAGTGCCATATGTGCAAGTTGAGAATATGAAAAATAGGCTTTCGTCTCATCTAAGATCTTTTTTTTTTTTGGTTGAAATACCACATTTATTTTTGTAAAATATTTTCAGATTTCAGTTTGTAAATGAATAAAGAAGGGCAATAAAATGATTTTTAGGAAATGAATTCCTAGCCTGTCTTGAATTATTTTGAATAAGGTTCTTTTTATGGTAAGCAACAGAAGGTCTTATATTGCCTGTCCTCCAGGCTGCTTGGGGACTGACCTTTAACAGTGATGGACAAACTGCGTTCGATAAATAAGTTCTGCTTTTCCCTTAAACTGCTAATTAGCATAAAGATTAGGACTATTTAAAAATCTAACAAGTTGTCCATCGGACAAGTCTTGTAGGAAATGCTGAGAAAACAATTGTGTTCTATTATAACCTTTCAGTACATCATTCCATGTCAAATAACAAGGTTCCTATTTCACGTTTTTAAATTTAAACGTCAGCTACTGTAATACCTTCACAAATCATGGCAACTAAAGAAATAATGACATCTTCCCTTTTGGTTTTTTGGTTCTTGAACGAAACCTGTTGAAAAGAGCAAATAAAACCAGAATTGCAAAAGCTTGTGCCTGTCTAATTACCTACCTAATGATGACCTTGTCAATGGATTTCAGCATTTCACTACACTGTTAATAAGCAGTCTGTGTTATTGGCCTACTTCCTGCCAATAACCACCCTGGATTTTATTAGTAATTCATGCAGCATAGGGCACATTTCCCTTGAACCCATCAAACATCTACCTGTGATTATGTGGAATTTATTCCTAGAATTGGTAATGAATACAAAATAGGGAGATTCCCTAGGGCTATAAAATGCTCTGTAGCATTTGCTAACAGGAGAAGCACTTGTTTACACGACCACTAGTATGTTAAAGCACCATTGTGAGTCATTTATTTGTGTATTATTAAGGCAAAGTAGCTAAATGATTGAAGATGACCTCATTTTTAGTGTTGGTGACAAAGCAGGGTGAGATTGAAACCTTCCTAACCACAAATTCTCCAATGTGTAACGTTGTGGTATTAGGAAGGCGTCCATTAAAAAAAGTCCAACAACAAAAATAATTCCAGCTGTTTCAATGTTACCGCCAGAGCCAGAATGACAAAATTCGAAAATCCTTTATATTTACATGCCAAAATATGGGACATCATAAGAAGCTTTATGACCAATTCTGTTCAAAGTGTTATTTGAATGTAATAATAATGTAATCAATTTACAGTACAGGAGTGGTAGATAAGTGAAGGAGACTGAGAATCCCTGGCACAAGATTCTCTTTCCAGACCCATTCTGACCCACAGCATCAGGCTTGGTTCCAGTTACAATCTCATTCTTTAACTGCTTTATCCAATATAGGGTCCCGGGGGAGCCGGACCCTATCCCTGCAAGAAATGGGCACTCGACAGGATACACCCTGGAGGGGACTCCAATCCATCTCAGGTCACACACAGACACAAACACGCACATACCATACTTACAGTTGAGCCAGTTTTTGTGGAAAGACAATCACCCTAGCAACATGTCTTCAGACTGTGAGAGGAAACTGTAGCACTAGGAGAAAACACACGCGGACATGGGGAGAACGTACAAACCAAACAGATAGCACCCAGGAACTGGACCCAGAGTCCCAGCACTGTATGGCAGATAACCACTGTGCCACTTTACCACCTTAAATAAATATTTTCATTTTTTATTTTACTACACAGTGACTGTGGAGTTGTAAAAATACATCTTGTGTTGTGCTACTGTACCTCGCGTTTTACATTTCAAAGAATTCTAACAGTACAAGACTAAAGAACAATAAAAAAAACATTCTGTTCCTGTCCTCTGTATCCAGTGTTCCCCTTTCACAATTCTAAACCATTTTGTTTAGGATTTACAAACACTGTTGTATGGCTATGAATGCAGCAAAGTTTCTCAAAATGTGTCATTTAGATTTACATAAAACATTTATACATTTGGGGGCTGTAGAAAAAAAGCTGAGGAAACTTCAAGAGCTACACAAAAAATAAATCTTGAGATTTCATGTCGATCATCATTCAACATAATGCGCACTGTAATGTTTTATTATGGTAATTGCAGTTCTTGCAATGTGTGAGTTTTACTAAGGCACCTCACTTCTCTTGAATAAATGCCATTTTCAATAGTCTGACAGACTAGTAATGTACACCCTTACTGGTGTATTGAATTTAATACATCATAAGTGACAAGCCACACCTCTTCGTTGTATCCAAGCAGTAAAAGAATAAATAGAAAAGGAGCCAACACGTTGATCAGACATCAAATAAAGTCTTTTATTATAGAATTTGTAGTAGAGGCACTACCTCACAAATATAGGCACTGAACTACCAAGTCAGCTTCACTCTGTGTAACATACACACCTTCTAATACAAAGAATTCACAATGAATTCACATGTCAGTGTCACAGTACTGCTCCTCACAGTCTGTAGCTACCATCAGTGAAAGATCAGGAAAGCAGAGAAAGTTCATTACACATCGGGATCTAATCTGGGAGACTTGATCACCAAGAGAGGACTCACATGGTATTGATCCACCCAGGTCAATGTCCCATTCTGGAGAAGTTCAGAATCATAATGTGGTTCTTGAAGGAGCTCTGCTTGTTTTACCCAAACAAAATTGATTGATGCCTCTTTGGCATTGTGTCCCTGGCGTGTTTTGCCACATGATCTCATCATCCCTGTTTAGCATGTGTGAATACAAACAAGAAGGAATATCAGTCATGACACATGCCAATCAGTACTACCTCACCCTCTTTCTGATGCAGTTTTATTTAAGGAGTCCAGGGGACACAAGTAAAAACTACAGAAAAGAGCATTTAAAACTCAGAACAGGAAGCTCTTAGTATTTACCCAAAGGGTTATGGGAGTATGGAACAAGGTACTGGCTAAAGAAGTTGATACCCAGACCTCCTTCAAGAAACAGCTGGATGAAATTTTTGGATTCATATTCTACTATAAAACAGGCTACACGGGTCAAATGGTCGCATTTGTAACCATTCTTCTGTTCTCATTGAACGGCAAAGGAAAAAAAAGTGTAAACTATGATGTCCAGTTGTATTACTCAAATATTTTCACCCCAGCAAATTCAGAATGTGTGTGCGCAGTGACCTGTCACATCAAATATTTACAAGATTCAGAAACTGTCGGGAATTTTCACTGAATACTCCTTTCCGTAATGAGAATATAGATCAATACCATGTAAGCCTTCTTTACAGAAACAATGACAAGACCCATTTAACACAAGCCACTTGGAGAAACTGCGACAGATTTTAAAATACAAAGGCAGAGAGAATAGCTGTGAGGATATCAATAATGAAAACGAAATGTTAAAGGAGTACAATATTTATGCGATTAGGTTCCAACTTTACTATAACCACCAAACTCCTTGAAATGTTATAAAGAATAAGAATCATGTTTCAATTACAGCCTTTAGCAGGTTTTCCTGAGTTGTTCTAGTGTATCTTTACTATGCATTTTCAATACTGAGAGGAAAGTGTGAAAGGTGAAATACCTTTAGGTATACCTACCTCAAGGGATTATACTTACTCATAACTGAAGAGCTTAAAGCACTCTGTCAAAGCCCACAAGTTAATGACCACCCAGTGACATGCAAGAGACCTGTTCTGTGCCTGCCCTCTATATAACAACCTGCCCTGTGGTATAGAACACAAAAGAGTGACCCCACTCTATGCAGTCCAGAAAGACAGAAAAATATTCAGATTATTCAGAGTGCCTCTTAATACTCCTTTTACTGAGCAGAGGGCAACTACAGGTTTCCTGTTATTTCAGGTGAGAAGTAAAAAGCTAGTTGTTAGGAAAGAAAAAAAGCTAACAACTACCACAGATGTTTTGTTTGTCTCCACTTCCTAGGCGATTCCTCAGAGGCAAGCCCTGTGTATACCATCCATGTGCAACTGCTAAAGGAGTCCCATGACATCGAGGCAACACTTTAGTCTGGGAATCTGTCAAAAGGCATTATAAACAACCGACTTGTACTTCTGGTAAATATTATTACAGAATAGTGTTTAGAAAAATAATAAAACTAACATCACAAGTAATAATATGCATTGGCAGACAAAGGAAATGCATATACTCCATTTGCAAGCCATGGGAGAACAGCAAGTCAGAGCTCATTGTGGTTTCTGTGGTGTTACAGTAAGTAGACAAAAGAAAATCCTGCTGTGGACTGAATGCCAGTCCGTCACTGGGATTACCCAAAGCTGTGCTGGTAAAGTACTTCAATCAAAGTACAACAGAAGGTCGGCAGCAGGGACTTGAACCCACTACCCACTATTCTGAGCCCAGAGACATAGTGTACTGTACCTATGGTGCTCCAATACACTTGACTATTACTGTACAAACAAATCTCACATAACAGGCAGGGAGCGTATAATCACTCAAGACAGATGCCTAAGTAAAAGTGCTGTAGTTAAAGTGGTTTCATTGTATTTCACGTTGTCAGAAAGACCTATTTCTACCTTGAAATAATACAATGGGCACCCCAGGGCTTTCCAACCATTTTTAGTGGAGTTTTTTGGTGGACACTACTAAAAAGGGTAATAAAGAGAAAACGTTTACAGTAAAGATATGGAGTCCATAACCAAACCCTTTCAGACAGTTTACAGGTGACAGCCTGACTGGTGGGTTGTAACCTCTGGCTGAGAGACAAGGGCACAAAAAGAGCAGGCACATTAAAAGTTACTGTGATATCTTGCCGATTAGTATTACAGTATGTGGGAATTTCTTGATTTCTCCATGTGTTTTCACCAGTTGATTAGGAATCACTCAACCACCAAAAGAACAAATCCACTTGTTAAACCTACTGCCTATGTCTTTCCAATTTGGTCAGATTAAGAGCACAAGGAAAACTAATGGATCAGCTAAGTACTGGTACACTATGCTTGACAGAACCTATTAGAGTCACTCGATACTGTACATATTGAACACACCTCACTAAAAAATCTCACAACAGCGATTTGTTTGTCCACAGTGATTTTTACATGTAGAGTCGAACACTTTAATACTTTGTAAACTTTTTAGGCTCTCCATTGGGTTTCATTCAATATTTCTATACTGTGCTTCCTGTGCAGAAACTTAACAGAGCCAAAATATCACTTTTGTGCTAACCAAGAGTAGAGGAATCTACTTGATTCCCATATGAATCCATCCAATCAGTCTAAGCTACTCTGTACTACCTCAGAACTCAAGAAACCAGATTTGCATTGAACAAAAACATTAGTTATAAAACAAACAATGATCCATTTCATTTTGCCTCCCTTTTGTCTATAACGCCACAGCACAGGCCTCAGCAGGCGTTATTTTATCACCAATTTATTTCTTACTCACACACAGGATTGTGAAATGCAAGTGAGAAAATCGATTTTCTCTCCCCTGTTCTGCACAGTACAGAATTACACTTAAAAAAACTATGCACATGCTCACTGGAAACAGCATTCTGCAAAATGAGCATACGTAAACCATATTCCAATATGCAAATGATAACATTTTGAAAACAGAGTGAACTGTTAGGGTCCTGTTGAGGAACCAGTGAGTGTGTAATATGTGAAAAAGAACCTATGTTGAAGGAAGAACATTTTTAAATCACACTATGCTTTATGGTTTTTGAAACCCACTCATCGCCATTTAGACAGTATCTTATTCCAATTAGGCTATTCTCAAGGTACAGTATATTTAACTTTGCCAGGACCTCATCATTTAACCTGATTAATAAGACAGTGCCCTACCCAAATGTGGATACTTCCTGTAGAATACTGTACTTCACTGTGAACAGCCACTGAATAATATTTCAACTAGTATAAATTCATAACCAGTACATTTGTTCAAGTTACTGAACTGCCTGTCATTTAAGAAGATGTGTCTGGATAGCTCTGTATTGCCTAGTTGTGAATAAAGGACTTGTTCCGATGCTATTACTGCTCAGGCGTCCTGAATACAGGGAAAATGTAAGCTTTCATTAGTTTCCCCAAAATTCTCACTTTATACTTTGAATTTACCACTTAATTTCCACAAATTAAATCCAGCAGTTACACCATGATTACAGACAAGATGAACAATTTGCTTTTTGAAGTTAAAACAATGAATACTAAGACTTTTAATATCCAAAAGAAACAGGCATCAGAATATTGTGCACCAAAAGGTCTCTCAGATGTGAAAAAAGTTAATACCACAATATTTTCAATTGCCACTGGCCACTGTTAAAAAAAAGGAGTATAGGACTTATTTTTAATTAAAGTGCCTTTAAACAGCTTCGCATCACCTTCATACTCACCTCAAAGCCTTTGGCAACTCTGAGTCTCAAGATAAACCACATCACCTCATTTCTTTAATAACTTCTGGCTTCATTTCTAGGAGCTTTGCAAGATGCTCAATACTACACCATACACCCACAGATGTTTTTCTTTTTTTATTCTACATGCTAGCTCATTACACATTTTGCGCTTGCCTTAAAACAAATCAGTCTGCTGTGTGTCTCTCAGCTTTTGCAGCATGCTAAGATCATGACTGGTACAGTTATGGCCATTCAGGTTATCACGAGCAGACTAATAGCTGGTGTTCTCATATTTATAAAATATAGGAACAGGCAGGTAGCAATAGTTTTAATTATTAGTCAACTCGTGTGTAGCAAAAGAAATATAGCACTTAAATTGGAAGTGATAGCTGATGGACATAGCCGATCCCTGTGTGTCTATGTGTTCCTGTGCCCTTACTGTATCTTAGGAAATGGGTGTCAACAGCAAGCTACAGTACAGTACATCATTGTTGTGACATCCTTTTCCCTGCAGGGCACTCTGTGTACTATCACTCTATTCTGCTAAACCCAATCATGAAACGGTGTCAGTTTTGAAGAAATGGGATCTCTAAAGCATCATGTAGATCTTCCAACTAAAAAAACAAGGGAAAACAGAACCTATACGTTTTATTTGAGAGGAAACGTAGATGTTGGCACACTGAAATGGTGATTGGTCATTGAGCAATCACCGACTCATTTTCTGCTAGCATAGCTGTAAAACAATTCAGTTATACAGACTGAGGAGCAAATTCTTGTCGATTGGGGGTGATGAGGTCTTCTCCAGAAAACAAGCTGACTGAAAAATGGCCAATTAAATTGTTCCCTATAAAATGAAGTTACAATAGATATCATTTTCGTTAAAAAACAGAACTAAAACGATTGCAAAGATATTTATAGTTTTTGATCACCAGCAGAATGATTGATGTTTTTATTTGTAATTTTTTCCAGGTTGTTGATTGTCTTTGACTGTGTCAGCACGGCCTATCCCAAGTAAGGATAGAGGTTTTCTCAACATTATACCAAAAATGCAGATTCAAGAAAACAACTACAGTGACACAAAAGCTACTGTAAACTGTTAAAACCTCTATCCCACACTACTGAACACCTCTCATTCAGCTTTGTTGAAACGGCTGAAAATCAGCTCACACAAAACCACTTCAGATACACGTTTTTGTTCTACTTCAATGACAACATTCATTCAAAATGGCTTTTGGACTGATTTTCAGTCTAGACTGGACTTCACATCCATTTTTAAATTTGGGTCTAGTTAATACAGTAGGTGATCATATTTGAGATAGCCCAGGTAATTGAATAAATGGAAAGCTTGGGAAAAAATGTTTTTTCCCACATAAATGGGAAGCATTTTTATTTCTAGAATTGCCAGAATTGCTTGTGCAGCACAAAGACAAAACTAGTTTTTATTTCTGCTAACTGCAGCTGAACTGGAAAAAGAGTCTTTGTTTTGATCCTTTTACCTGTTATACTGTTGGTGTACAATATGCTGTGGATTCCTTCAGGAGCTCAGATCATATCATGCTCCAGCAGCCAACACCAAAGGCCTGGATTCAGTTCAACGATTATGTGAGCTACAATTCATCCAAATGTTAGACAGCATGGCTGTTTGTAGGATTGTTTCTTTCTGTAACTTTACGGGTCTGTTGTATGCATCCATCCCAACTGATGAAAATATATTTACGACAACAAAAAGGCTGGGGTGTTTCCAGAGTAATCAGAGTAAAGAAGATAATAAACAGTATTTTTTGTCTTATATTTCAAGAGGTGTCCATTTCGTTAGGATGGACTTCCATTGCCTTGAGAATTTTCAGGTCATTTCTGAAGGATGGTTGTTGGGAGAGACAAACAATCCAGTGTACTAACAGGGAGAATTCCACAATGACTTTGTGAGGGTTCTTCCGCTGTAGAACTTGACCAAATGTGGTCAAGATGGTTAAGTGGTAAATGTGTCCACCACTTATTCCACAACTCTTTGATATTTGAAAAAGATCAGCCTGTCTGATGACACAAAGCAGCCAGAGGTACTCCTGTCCCGTTCACTTTCCTTAATCGCATTTTCTAATATGTCTGCTTCGAAAAAGGATCTGTCATGTTTTGAAAAAAGCCAGAATCTTACAAAATATAGACAAATAATCTGGCATCATTCAAAGCTGGCTGCATCCAGTCCTGAAAAAGAACAAAACTAATTTCCTTCTGTACAAGAAAATGAGTTAAACTCATCAGCTGATGTAATTTCTGTTCACTTAAAGTGGAGATTTCGAAAAGGTACTGTACTGTATGTTGAAGATGTACAGAGAAAATAGAGAGAGTTTTCATACCTGTGTTTCCAGAGTGCACTAGATACAATGCACCAAAATCATGCCTTGTGCAATTTAATTTCCACTGTGGCTTTTGCAGAATCACAAGGGTTTTTTTCATCGTGTGGGAAACAAAATAATTTGCTGAAGAAAAAACCTCCCTGTAGTCCTTCTTTAAAAAATCATCTCATGGATTAAAATGTCTATACTGTAGTTTGAACAGAATTTCAGATTTAAGACATTGCCATTACCACTTCTAAATTAAATGTCTTAAATGCCCGTCAATAGCGCTAAATTCCCTAAATATATAGTTTAGTTTCTGCATTATGGAAAATATACATTTTCTAACTGTTACCCAAACTGAATCAATCATATCAGTAAATTAAATAAATTAAAATTGAGATGCAAATTAACTTTCATGTAATAGAAGAAGAAACCCCATGCATTGGCTTTAACAAATGTTTTCCAATTTGCAGCTGCTACAGGCAGATACTGCGGTATGGCCCTAAGCTCCTTTTGAACGAACACCCTGATTGGAAATTGATAACTCTGCGGTACAATTCAGATCTGTTTCACTTTCATATTCCTCGAGTACATAAAAAGCTCTTGACTCCAGAAGAACAGACTCCAGTGGATTCTCTTGACATTTCCCCTTGACTAACTATCAGACTTTGGGAGATAGAAAAGGTCACAAGCTGGAAAGCTAGGGTTCTCTTCCAGCTGTGGCCGAGCTGCGAACTGGCATGGTGCGCGGCCAGTCCCTCCCTCAGACGCTCTCGCGCAGGCAGAGCGCTTCCACAGCGTTGCTCGGGCCCTGGGCCACCCCTCCAATGAGGAAGAGCATGTGAGGTGTCTGCAGGCCTGCGCAGGAGCAGCGAGGGTTGGGCAAGGGGGCCAGGTACTCCCAGCGCTTCTTCACCGGGTTGAAGCTCTCCACGGAGGCCAGGGGCGAGGGCTGATTGCCTATGGAGACAGAAGCACACTGTCAGCGAAGGAAAAAAGGGCCGCACGTCCACATACAGCAGCACAACCCAGTTTAGATGGCTCGTTTTCTTATAATGGGAGGTCCCCTCCCCACAAACCCAACCACTGGGCCCCATCTTCCTTCCAACTCTTCTGTAAGTAAGCCAAAGTAAAGCATACATACAGCTAACTTCGCCACATTGTGAGCTAAAGGAAATGCAGACAACAATCCAGACAACTACAGAATCCTGGTCTGTAAAGAGGAAGACCACCCAAAACTAGTGAACTTCCCACTTGTCTCCTCCATCTTTCCTCACAGGTGTCTGTGTGACTGCTGCAGGTGTCACCATGTACCCAAGTCAATACTCCAGAGGGGGATGGGCTTGTGTCTGTTCTGTTTCACATGGGTTGTCAGTTACAAAGCTGCTAATTTACAGACATCATTACATTGAAGGCTTGCGAGTTTATAAGAGGAAAACAAAACATTTAATATACATAGGGGGATTGGAGCGCTTTTCATAATCAGATTTTAAATTCAGTGCTTCTGCACCTTAGACATTGTTGATCCTTTCTGTTAATAGGCATAACAGTGCCTTTCCTATTATAGAGCTACATCTTGGCATGCAAAACCCACACTAGGCAACCTAAATTGCAGTTAACAATTGCTACGCCTTGCCCCATTTTTACAAATCAATAAATAAAAAAAATATTTGTTTGCTGAATTTTTTACCATGTCGAAACAAATGCAAGGTTTTATTGTGGAGTAATTGTTTCAGTAATAGTCTCACATGTACTGTAAAAGGACCAAGATGTTCTGGCAGTGTGAAAAGAGAGCAGATTCAAATCTGCACATATTCAGGGAGGAACAGGAAGATCTGATACACAATTAATCTTTTATTAATTATCACCAGCAACATTCTGTCTCCAAAGTAACCCATTCCCTTTCACTCACTGGATGAACAGAAACATATTAACTCTTTTTCCATTCTTTGCTTTGACAACAATTATTTGGTTGCATGTTTTCAGAGATTGTCACTGATTGTTCAGTTTTTTATCATCCAAGACAATAATAGCTCTTAATGGCAGAAGAGATAAAGAATACACTCAAGTTCCTGACGAAAAAAGATGGAACTCTCCTGTTGAGCCGGGTGGTGATTTTTAAGCCTAGCTCTAAGACAGCTGCACAAGCTATGGTTTCCTGAGAAGTTATGTGTTAGATATACTACATCAGGATTATTACTGTCACGATCGCTATTCCTCCTCTTAAGGGCGCTCCAGCCCTTCCTTGTTTTCTCCCATTTCCCACACCTGTCCCCTATCTCCGTTCCCCCTTAAAAGCCAGATGCAGACGTCACACCTGGTTCCCCATTGAATTCCTCTTCGTGAGAGCCCGGGGTCCTGCTGCATCTGGCTCTGTTATGGTTTTAACCTCCTGTTCTTGATTCCTCCCGCCAGTCCGACCCGGCTCCTGGTTTTTAATTCCCTTGAATGGATCGTCTGGTATTGGACTTCTCTTCTGTTTTGGATTCGCTGTTTGGACTTTGTCTTTGATTGTTTGCCCCGGACTCACTTCCCCCGGACACCTGCTCACCTTGGACACGCCCCCCTGGCGCCATACCCTTCTCCTGCATGATTTTTTCCCTACTGTTTCCTCACTATCCGGATTGTGTCGTCTGCATAGGGCCCGGAGAGAACTGTTCGTGACAATTACAGTGTTGGTGGCTATTTTCCTTACTGTCTTTAATGCTATTCTGCAAGGTACAGTATAGGATTTTATTGCAGGACTGGTATTTTAAATGCAACCGATAAACCCAATATACAGTGGTTCTAATCTGTGCTCAATTAAGCCTAGTAAACCTGTCAAACGTATCAGAGTTTACAGAGAATATACCAGAAGAACACCAATTGGTTCCATGTTAAAAATGGCAGAATTTCCAATGAATCATCTCAGCTGCATTTATAATGGCCAAATCCTTTGAGATTAAATGTCATAACAGAACCTTCTCACATTAATAATAAGACAACTTCTAAATCAACAGATATGACCAAATTGCACAGTCAGGTTCCTGGTCAGTTGGAGGTTACAGCAGGTTGACTGCCTTGTAGATTGCGGATATAAATTGGGAGATACAACCAATTGCTGTCTTCTACTACTAAAAAGGAAGAAATTTTCTTAATGGCAAATTCGTAGCATATAACACTAGAAACTTCAGATGTCACTTCATAAATGTATAAGCTACTAATACTCATATATGCATTATTAAAACATACTGTATTTATATGAGAACAGTCGACTATTGAGAAATAAGTATTCAATCAATTGTAAATAGAGGTCAGTTTCTAGAAGGTTATTAACATTCTATTTTTAGAATAAATGGAATAGTATCTCCTTTTTGATGTTGATCTGAATATAGAGATCTGGAGTCAGAGATAGGAATTTTTAATGGCAACCAGATTGAAGTACTGAATTGTTTTCAACTTGAAATGGGAGCATGTTTCATTCATTTTGCTTTGTTATAACCAGTATCTTGGTAATTCTCAATTAACTGAAAATGAGTATGCTTTCATGTCTGCACGATACTGGATTTGCACTCCATGACTTTGTGTGGAGAAATGTATCAAAAAATATTCTTCATGTTTGAATGTTTCATGCATATAACATGGCCTTAGTATTGAAGCTTGCTTTCATCTATATTTTCAAAAGTTTAGTGCAATACAGAACAACAGTGAGCCAAAGTCTGACCACACAAAGAACAGGGTATGATACCCCTGGATATGACACCTGC